ATTTAATTTTCTTTTGTTGATCATTTAGGCTGCCACTCAGTTCAAAAACAGCCTGATGAAACTTACAGAAATCCTCAGGTCTAAAGAGCCATCCTACGTGCGCTGTATCAAACCAAATGACGCCAAGCAGCCAGGTACGTTTCACATCCTGTCATATTAATTGGGATATATAAGCGTTTTTATTTGGGAGGGTCCGGGTCTCAAATAAAGGCTTTATTAGAAGATCCTAAATACAGATCAAGAAAAACAATGTAAAGGTTACCCGTCTAATACTGGCTGCTGTGTTCTCAGTTTTGTCACACGGCAGTGAACTAGAGATGATGTTTAGTTGGTGATTCATAAACTAATTATGTTTGACCTAATTCTTTTCTTACGTTTCCCGTTCTCAATCAAAACCTCTCAGAAAAGGAAATACCTTCTTAAACACTCTAATAGTAAAGGTGGAAGATGTGTTTTGTTTGATTCAACAACAAACTAGCATGTGATTACAGAAGGTTATAAGTTAATCTAACAAAAGGAATTTTGATTTAGTCGCAACTTTTTTAATAAAAATGTCCTTTTTATTTCAAATAAATAAAACCCCCAGCTTCTTAATGTATGTAATGAAGCTTATCCTGCTGTGTGGATTGCGTTTCATATCATTGGCCAGAAATATTTCTTTGTTACTAATAAATACGGTTTCTGTCCCTGCAGGAAGGTTTGATGAAGTTCTGGTTCGACATCAGGTGAAGTACCTGGGCCTGATGGAAAACCTGAGGGTCAGGAGAGCTGGCTTTGCATATCGTCGGCGCTTTGAAGCCTTCCTGCAGCGGTAGTTCACAGTTGCAGTGGCTGTTTACTTTATGTTCATTCTTCTTTTATTGTAACCGTTCATAAATGCTCTTAGGTATAAGCCCCTGTGTCCTGAGACGTGGCCCAACTGGCATGGCAGACTCGCAGATGGAGTTTTGACACTGGTTAAGCACCTGGGATACAAAGATGAAGAGTACAAACTGGGGAGGTAACTTGTTTAATGTTGTATGCAAGGCATTTAATCACACTTCATTGCAATAAGTGTCCATTGAAAGGCACACTGATTTTGTGTTGATCACAATTTTTTTTTTTTTGGCTGCTTTCTGCAGATCAAAAATCTTCATCCGTTTTCCAAAAACTCTTTTCAATACTGAAGATGCTCTAGAAGCGAAAAAGCCAGAGATAGGTAAGCAGCAATAGCAAGGATTATCAAACTGAGGGCGTCACAACTGAAATAAAATATAAGGTAGTGATGCAAATATTCATGAAACACACTTCTAATGAGTTTAGAGTGTCAAAGATGTGAAGCTTCAGCTTTTTGGGAGGTTTTAGTGAAACAGCTCCTGACTTTAATCATCAAAATGAACACATTTTAAACACAATCATAAGGTACGCAGTAAAACTATATTCCTCATGTTTCAGCACTGACCCTGCAGACATCATGGAGAGGCTACAGAGAGAGGGCCAAGTACCAACGCATCAGACGTGCAGGTCAGACCACCTCCAGCTGTTGGCGCTCTCATACTTTGCCACCTTTCTCCTTAAAGAATAGCCCCTAAAATGAGAATATACAAGTGTTTAATGTGTTTGTATAGTATTGTTACATTGGCCCTACCTGCTTGGTACAAATGCATAAATCTGCAATACAGCTTTGTTTCATTTCCCCAGCATTCCTTTGTGGGTCTAAACTGACTTTATATGTCTGCTGCACTAACGTTGGGGTGTTCTCTTTGGCTGAGTATAAGAGCTGTCTTGGTGTTTATACGTGCATGTGTGTATATATATATAGTGATAGTGATCCAGTCGGGGTGGCGAGGGATGAAAGCACGCAGGAGAGCTAAAAGGCGTCGCCAGGCTGCTGACTTAATTCGCAGGTGCTTGAATGAAACTTTTTTTTGGCGTCTAGTTTTTGGTGCTGTGTTTTGCAAAATATAATAATTTCCATCATGATTTTTGCATTTTTTTTCCCAGGTTCATTAAAGGCTTCATCTACCGTCATGGGGAATACGGTCCTGAGAATGACTATTTCCTGGATCACGTTCGTTACTCTTTCTTGAAAAATCTACGCAAAAACCTGCCCAAGAGTGTTTTGGACAAATCCTGGCCGACACCTCCTCCGTCTCTCGATGAGGTGCAAAAACCCCACATTCAAATTGAGTCCCCCCGCTGTCTAAGATCATTGCACACAGATAATATGATATTTGAATAGATAGTCTGCATTGTTAATTCTTTGGTCTCCTACAGGCATCGGAGCACCTGCAGAGGCTGCACATGCGGAACATGGTCACAAAGTATTGCTGGAGAGTCCAGCCCGAATGGAAGAAGCAGGTACACTGATAACAGAAGATGGTCTACCTGTTATCTTGTTGTTGTATTTTCCTGCAAGATGGTCAGATTGCAGCTGACTGGCTTTCATTTAGTTGTTTTGTTTTAATCTTTATTTAAATCTCACTTGATTTTTGTTTGTCCTCTAGATGATGCAGAAGGTTGTAGCCAGTGAGATCTTCAAGGATCAGAAAGACAGCTACCCTCAGAGTGTTGGAAAGCTGTTTTTGGACTCCAGGCTTGGTACACGTTTATGTATTCATTGTCTTTGCACTTGTTATCCACCACCCACTGGCAAGCATAAAAAATTCACAGAGCATTTCTACTGCTTTATACAGAACGTGAGCAAATCAGTCTCAAAGTCGTCCAGACTCTGGGCAATGACAAAGTGCAGGTAGGGTTTGTTTTTTTTTTTGTTTAAAGCCTGATGGCGATAATAAATGCTGCTATGGAGTAATGCGTCTCCTTGTCCTTTTCAGTACGGTGTTTCAGTCATAAAGTATGACAAAAGGGGTTTCAAGCCGCGCCCTCGCCAGCTGCTCCTCACTAACACCTTTGCTGTGTTGGTGGACAAGACCAAAATCAAGCAGAGGATCGACTACACAGCTCTGAGAGGTGAAAACCAGCCTTGAGAAGGGGACAGTTTTACAAATGTAGTATATTGAGATAGTTATTGAGATAATGTTCTTGAATTCATCACTTGTAAATGCATATTTTTTGTAAGGGAGGAATCTTTACAGTTTTAAATCCTGCTTCTTCTGTTTTTTTAAACGTCCATCTGCGGTCACAAAATCTAAACGGCTTTTTCTGGAAACTTCAGCTCAGTCTCTAGAGACTCTCAAGCAGAAGTTTCCATATCTGGATGATAAAGTGGACTGTGAACTTATCAGCTACTGCTAGCAAACTATATAGGTTCAAGTTCACGCACGTATTCTAATTAGTGCTGTAAAACAATGTAATAAAAACCATCACAAATTCGTGGATGGGCTTTACATGGGAAGTCGTTATGAGTCAGATAATTCTCTGCAGACTTGAATCAACAGAGGGGATGTCTAGCAGGCAGCTGTTGACTACAGCAGCTGCCTCTGCAGGAACACTCGTTACTCATAACGGTCACAGACTTAACTCCGCTGTGCATATGAATCAGCTAAGAATGATTTGCCCCATACAGTTGTTATCATAGGGGAAAACTATCCACAGAGATCAAAACTGTTTTGCACCAGACTGTAAAAGATGTTGTAAAGTTGGGGACTTTTAAGATCGGAGTCTACGGGGAATAACTTGCTTTTGGAGTTAGCCTCAAGTTGCTATTAAAGGTTTCTGGCACTTTTGCAATGGCTTCGTGTTACAGTTCAGGAGGTCACCACAACACTGCTAGGTATTCCATTATGCACATTGTGACTGTTCAGTGTGCGTTTAGTGATTTGTTTTGTGTTTTTTCTTGAAACAGATATCGCTTTGAGCTCTCTCAGTGATGGGATGTGTGTTCTTCACATCACAAGGGAGGACAATAAACAGAAGGTACAGTAGGACACAACAGTCATGCCTGTGTGGAATAAAGCAACCATGCAGCCACTCTAAAGCCCGCTGTCTCTCCCACAGGGGGATCTGCTGCTGCACTGCAGCCACTCGATCGAGCTGGTAACAAAATTAGCCATGATGGCCAACAAGACCAGCAACGTCAACATCAACCCGGGCAGGTAAGATTCAGACTGACTGCTTCTGTGTGGTGGTCACCATCAGTCCATCTTATCATCTGTTCTTGGCACGCAGCATCCAGTTTACTGTGGCCCGAGGCAAGGAAGGAATAATTGATTTTGTGAGGGGCGCAGAGCTGAAAGTGACCAAAGGCAGACGAGGACATTTGCTAGTGGTGAGTCAGCGGCTGCTCTGATATCATGTGGGGAGCCTGCAGACAGGGAGGGGTGTTTTGATACCAAAAACATTTGATAGCTGACTGTGTTCGATCTGATTTCACTCTTCAGACTGCCCCTCAGATCAACGCCACATGAAGACACAGAAAACCAGCTAACTGATCAGTTTGCAGCTTACAGGAGAAAACCACAGAATACAAAACATGCCCGACAGAGTGCTTATTGATTCATATTCTGTACATCTTCATTATAACAAGATTATCTTCAGTGTTGCATTAACTATTGATAACCAAAGATGAAAATTAAGACATGAAGTAGTCGCCATTTCAAATGCTGTAACTCTTTATTGAAAAAAATACAAAATATTTATCAAATATAAAATGTCTTCTGTAAAACACTGTATTACATATTGCAAGAGAATTAAAATAAACCACTTTGAAATAAATAGCATTGTAATAAATATTTCAATAAATAGCAAAATATCTTTGGAAAGTCCACTAGATCGAGGGCGTGGGTGGAAAAACAGGATGTTGGGAAGCGTTCTCGCCGTTCTGAAAGCTCATGTCTAACTTACAGTCAGAGGTGAGACAGAAACTCTGGGAAATACCCAAGAAAGCCCTTAAAATGAGAAGGAATAAAAAGCAGACTCGCAATAATCAGAGCCCCTCGCGAAATGTTAATAAAAACACTTGAATGAAAACTATCACAATCTTTCCAGTTTGATCAAAGTGCTGAGAGTCAGTTCAACTATTTCTTCCTTTTTTCTCTTTGACTTTGTGCGCATGTGTGTGTGTGTGTGTGTGTTGTCTTTTTTTCAGTTTTGAGTCATGACTGTATTTTCGTAGCCAGTAAAAGAAAGTCTCTTGCCAGCTTGGTGAGGTAAAGGTCCAGATCCCTCAGGATGATGTAACCTTCCACTCGGCTGTCCCATACTGTCCTGGACCTGCTTGCTGGGTTCAGGCGTGTTTGTGCCAAAGCAGCTGCTGGCCTTTTCCAAGAGCTTCTCAAAGAGCTCATCTAGGGGAGAAAGCAAAACAAATCTTATATCAGACCATTTTTGATGTCACTTCCTCCACAGGGAAGGGGGATGATGAAATGTGGGTGGATTTCAGTAAAAAGACTGTTGATACCTGAGTGCTAACTTGGCTAATCAGGTCCCGCAAGTCCAGCTGAATGTGTCTGATGTTCTGAGTTAGAGTTGTCCGAGCATCCTGCACCATCTTCTGATCTTTCTCCTCGTTCTCCAGCTGTATTCTCTTCCACTCCAGCATATTCCAGTAGGTTTTCATGTCCCAGAAAGCGGCATGCAGTCGTTCCCACTCCTGAACGCACAAGTGACAAGCACATGATTACATAATGAAGCGTTGCACAACCCCATCTGTGCTTGAAGTTTCAAAAAGGGGAATTCCATGCAAATTTTTACAAGCATTTTTATTCTGTAAAAGCAAACCTTCTGACAGAGTCATCAGGTTTCTTTCTTTTTTTTTGTTTGTTTTTTTGTTCTCCTCATAATGGAAAAGGTCAAAACAAGAAATTCTCAGAATAACACCAAAAGTTAATCAGAGAATGATTTTCTATGAAAGTGTTTTGAAACACAGAGGGACTTACTAACCGTCAGATTAATCCACCGATAGAATTCTGTGGAAAGTGAGGGCAGATCCTTCAAGTGTCGGCTTCTGTCCTCAAACTGCCCGTTTCCCAGCTGCTGCTCCTTCTATAAATATTACACAAAACAATAACTTATAAGTTTAAGCTGAGAAAAAAAAAAACAACTAGTGTCAGACCATGGAGTAGAACTAAATTTAGTACTTACATATTTCCCTAGCAGCTGTTGCACACGAGTTCGAGTGGACCTTGTGTGCTTGAAGCAATTAAGATACAGGGAATTAGTCTGAGCAACTGGTAATGAGGCGGATTGCTCCATGCAGTCCAGTATACAAAAGAGGAGGAAGAGGGCTTTCCAAACAGCCATCTGAAACATCGGAGACAAGACCAGAGTTATAGGTTAGAAATCATCTGCGACCACGTGCGCCTTCATGGGATAAACTAATGAACGAACAGTTTGTGCAGCTGCTTAAACTCCCAACGATTAAGTAAAATAAGCTGACTTGAACTTCCTGTAAAATTGCTATGTATAGAAAGTAACACTTCTGAAGAAAATGAATATGGCAGATGGGAAATTTAACAACATTTCTCTAAGAAATTCCACGCCTCATCTGTCATCCCCTGCCACATGACATCCATATGCTTTCTTTCTTAAATTCCAATAAATGGTTAAACTGTGAAAAGGAAGCTCTTTTTTTCTATGTCCTCTTCTTTTTCAGCCTTGCACCTAAAAGTGTCTGTGCAAAGACCTGAAGTCAAATCTCTTGAGTACAGATAAAACTGACTTCAGCAGGTGGTTGCCACTGCAGGAATCATGTAATTAGAAGCGTTGTATGTCTTGTCCCTTTCAGGTTTCCTGACTCAGTTGTAATTAATCAGCAGAAAAAAGAAACAAAAATCTTCCTTTTTTAAAAAAAAGTTTCTTCTTTTTGTTGTTACATATGCTCTCGATGCAAAACAGTCTTCATGCTGAGTCAGTCAATCACTTATTAACTGGAAGGATAACAGTTCCCTGATCTCCCAGTTCAATGTACATTAAGACAGCACAGTCATTAAGCAAACATAAACACACTGTATATATATATACATACATACACACATATACACACACACACACACACACACACACACATACACATACATATATATATATGTGTGTGTGTGTGTGTGTGTGTGTGTGTGTGTGTGTGTGTATGTATGTATATATATATACACACACACACACACACATATCAATATCTATATATATACATATATAGATATTGATATTGATATCTATCAGAAAAACACAAACACCCTCAGACTCTTGTAAACTAGTGTAACATGGGCTTACCTCGGAGGAGTAGTGAGTAGTGGTGTAGTGCCACTCGCAGCAAGATAATTTCATGCTTTACTGGCACTCACAAACACTATATATTCTCATGTTCTTGCTTTCGGTTTCACACGGTGTCTGGACTTTTTTTTTTTTTTTTTCCTCTCTCTGCCGTCTCGCTCTCTCTCTCACTAAGCATCTTGTGGTGACTGTATGATTCAGAAAAAGTCATTCACTGTGAAACTAAAATAGGACTGCCGTCTTTATTTTTTGCTATCCCCCCCCCACACACACACACACTTGTAATCATCATGCTTGTAAACTGCTTTTCTTTTGTGTCTTTCTATTTCTATACTCTATACTCACAAATCTGTCCATTTTTAGGTCATTTAAACATGGACGAATTGATAAGACAGAAAAGAAAAGGAAGCATGAGAATAAGCATCTACTTTTAAAAAAATCATCTGTTTGAGCTGTAACTGCCACTCTGGCAAGTTGACCGCAATGCTCAGTGTTTAGTTTACACAATAAATAAAAACATAACTTTCTTAATTCCTGAAATGTCCAGTAATTTACTGGGGAAAGGTGGAAAAACACTTCATCAACATCAAACACTTTTTGACTGTGCATCTTTAGGGAATATTTCAGTCTCATGATGTGGACAAGTTACAACAAGCAGTTTCACTGAATGTCAGGGAAACAAGATGGAAAAAAAGACCAATTTTAAAAAAAACACCCATGATGTCATCAATTGCATCACTTGAAAGCGCAAGTCAGGAACCCACACACACTGCTAAAGCAATTTAACAATTGTAGCTATACACAGATTATAATTAAAGACTTCTGGATCTTTTTTTCGTTTTACATATATATAACGAAAAAAAGATCCAGAATTCTTTAATAGTAATATATATGTATTTATATATATCTTTGAATGATGTTATCCTAAATCCTTTTGAGTCCTTCTTCTTGTATCCTCCTTAAAGGTACCTGTTTTGATATCAGCATTCCCTTATAAGAATAAAAAAAAAAACACACAGTTTAAATAAATAAAATTAAATAATTAGGAATTCATGATATTTTACTGAAATTTGTGCTGCCTGGTTTGAGGTATTTTGCAGCTTTCAGGTAGGTTCAGGTCTCTTCAAGTAAAAATCAAAATCATTCAAGTTCTATTCCAGAAAATTGCTTAACTGTAAAGGGGTTGATAATGATTTTGAGGTAAATTCCCAACCAGACATGAATTCAGTGCCTTCAGTACTGGAAGTCACCTGAGATTAAAAGAAAAGAAAGCCGGAGCAGTAATCTGTTATCATGTTGAAATTTGATCCGTCGTTATTGGACCAAATATAGTTTTGCACGGTACGATGCCATGGAAAGTGCATCTGATTGTTTTTTGTTTGTGTTTTTTAGTGCGGAAAATACATGCCTGCTGAATTTTTACATTTGACGCAACTTAAATCAATTTCTGACTGTTTGGTACAAATCACAGCATTTTTTAAAATCACAGATTTAAATAATTCTCACATGATTATTATTTTGGTTTATTTTTGTGCAGAATTCATTGACTATATAAAAACATGTTCCTAGAGTCATTTCACAGTAACCCAGTGTGCCAGTTGAAACTGTGTAAGACAAACTTCAACAGGTAATGCTACATGAGACCCATCACAATATATTTAGTTCATGTGTAAATAATGTTCTACATAAATATTACATTTAGTTTTTTAATATTAGATTTTAATGAGTTAGCTTAGACCTGTTTTTCATTTGTCTTGCTGCCTAATTTCCTAACTTCAGCCAGTAAATTTCAGTACAGAAGCAAGTTTTATCTTGTGACAGAGCAATGTGTCTTCTCTAACAGTTTACCTTTGCTTTTGTGTTGTTTTACTCTGTGTAAAATTGATCTTTCAGACAGTGGAGGAAACTCAAATGGGCAGCTTTACTAACAACCAAGCTTAAGCTAAATAAAATGCATTTTCAGAACAACTCTGAAGAGGAACATAAAGATATTCTGTAAGATCTTAAATTAGGTTTGGGTATTCACACAGTGTTTTTTAGACAAATTTCCAGAGTCGGTATGTTTTTGTGAAATTTCTGATATGCATTTGGTTTCAAACTATGAAAAATTCTTATCCCTAGAAATTTTATTGACAGGAGGTTTCACCCTACCTCTTTGTTGTGTGACAGTTTCACTTTGGCATTTAAGTTATGGTTTCAGTGAATTCGCTTGTTGAAGCCACAGGTTGTTTTTATCTAGACAGTCATAATAATTCTGTTTTTGGTCTGTGCTTTTTTACTAGCTGCTGGTTATTAATCTGTTATTAACTTGCTGTAACCAAATGTGACTGGCTTTCTCCTGTGCGGCCTTTTTAGACTCCACTGATGACGCTTCTAGCACAAGTACAGGACTGTGTTTCTCACCTGTCTGACAGAGTTCATAGAAACAACTGGGACACTTTGTTGGCAGAAAGAAGAACAAGAGCCAGCTGCACACTTTGTAGTCTTGAAAACAACACGTTTCTGACCTGACTTTTACAGCGATACAGCAGAAACACCCCAGGATTTCTATTTAGCTTGGATTACTTGTATATAACAAAAACGGGGTACGAATGTTTTCGTGGGGTCAGGTTAATTCACTTCTAACGCTCCAGCCTTTCATGCACCTTCATGGTGGGGATTTTGAAATTTGTACTTTGTACTGTGAAATTATGCATTTATACTTGGCTGGTTTTCTTTTTCTGCATCTACTGTTGTTGTTTTTTATAAAGCAAAGATTACAATAAATCAAATTACACATTATGTTTTTTCACTGAGTCTTGTTAAACATACAGTATAAAGATTTAAAATGTTGGATACTTAGGATTCTTTTAATTTGGAAATGCTAGAGAGACGTCAGGTTATCCTACATTTATTTAAAGTATCTGCTGTTACATAAAAACATTTCACACAGTCAGACTGGATATGCTAAACGTCTATATCAGTGTTGGTTTGTTTAACTCCAGAACAATCTCTAAAGTTTCTTTGAACTGCGCAAACAAATGAGGGCTAGGTAAAACTATTTAACTCTTCACATAGTTATTCTGATTCTGGTTTACAGTTTTTCACTTGTCATTTCGAACTAGGGTACTACTTCCTTGCCCTTAATCTCGGAATTCAGGTGTTTTCAGTCGTATTGCCATGGGTATAAGATGAAGCATTAAGCCATGCAGTCTGCCTTCACAAACATTTGTGAAAGAATAAGTCTTTCTAAAGAATTCACAGAATTTCAGTGTGATACTGTAACAGGATGCCGCTGTTGCAACAAGTCATGTTGTGAAATTTCTTCCCTCAGACATATCCCATGATGTAAGCAGTAAGTGGTAATATTGTGAAGCTGAACTACAGGAACTCAGGCACATAGCAGACCACATAAAGTTAGAGTCACATATAACGAGAGAGGAGTCGCCAAGTGCAAGGCGCGTAGTACAAAAGTCACCAACATTGTGCTAAATGAATAAAAATAAATGAGTTTCAAACCTCATCTGCTATTAACATCAGCACAGTAACTGTGCACTGGGAGCTTCAAGGCCATGGAAACCCTTCCTTCTGTGTGACAACTGGGTGGCTCGGTGCTTTTGCCCATGCAGTTTAAGTTGTAAAAACATTAATATTATAACTTTTTATAAGCATTATTTAATTATATAATTCTTTTAAAATCACACAAAGTACTTCATTAGCTTAACATGATAGCATTTTGCAAAGGCTGATAGTTCAGTCAGTGCAGAGACATTGATCTATGAGCTCTGTTTTTAGTTTCTGTAAGTACTCCCTCCAAAGCACATCGGACAAGCTGAAGGCTTTTCAGAATTTTATTAAATCAAAGTAATAATAAAGAAGTATGGTAACAGTGTGCACTGGAAGTAACAAATTTGTGGATTTTTTTTTTCAATATCACCAAACGTGGTAACTTAATTTGTATCCGAATTTAGATGCAGGAAATTAAAGGGGTTTCAGGTCCATTTGTCTTTTAGACACTCTAACTGAGCATAAATGGGTTTCATCCATGTTGCAATGGAAATGTACTTTCAATATTTCCTTTGAGCCTCTAAATGATGGAGAGTATCAACCCAATGCTGTAACCCTGGCCTTTTTATATCAATTGATGTCTTCAAGGTAAGTTAGTGTTAAGGGTTGATGATAGATTTCGGCCTTTTTGCAATATCCTCCTGAGAACCGTGGAAAAAACTGCACCTTTTTGTGATTTCCTTCCTCTCTGGAGCTAATCAAACACACGAGAAATCAATGGAAAGCCCAGGATGTCCTCTATTTCGTACATCAAGACTTAGTAAGGTACCTCAAATGAGTCAAACGATATAGATCAAAAACAAATGTCCATTATAGAAGACATAGGAAATAAGGCTGGTTCTCAGGAGAATATAATGTCACTGTGGTGGAGCGTGGACTGCGGTGCCGTGCGCACGCACGTGCATGGCATCCGCAATCATGCCCACTGTGTTAAAACACGGGGAATAAGGGTTGGGGAAGATGTGTGGAATGTGGTGTGATGGCTCTCAGTAACAACCTCTGGACCCACCGTGTCTCAATCACACCACAGTCACTACATAAAGAGACTATTGAAAATTCATAGGGACATGTACACTGCAAGCTTATAAAACCTACAAGACAATAAAGTGGTCTGATTTTGATGCCGGTCATAAAAATCTTACTTCTCTATGAAAAAGAAAATGCTGAGCTCTTTGTGAACTGTCATGTGGTCAGTGGGGAGGGAAGGGGTGAAGTCGGAAAAGGGCTTCCCTCATTTTCATTACCTGTTTTCGCTTATTTTCTTGAAACAGTAATGTTAAATCCCCCACGTTTTGTACAATTTACTCTCAGCTTATTTGTGTTTCATGCAATTGTGGTTTTGAGCATCCTTTTAGTTTTGCTATGAATTTCTTCCAGTTTTTCAACTTTTTCTATAAACAGCAAACCCAGATTTCGGCTTATTGTAAACACATACAGTCACGAGAAAAAGAAGTCTGTCACAGGACTCTGTTTTGTGAAAACTAAGCACATGAACATGAAGTTTGCAGGCATTTCTTCAGTGCACAGCTATGTTAAGGTCCCACGGCAGCATTTCAATCTGCTTGAGGTCTGGACTTTGACTGGACCACTGCTACACCTAAATTCTTTTCTTCTTCGGTCATTTTGTTATAAATTTGCTAGTGTGCTTGGGTTCACAGCCTCAAGTTTGACTCTAGAATACTCAGAGGAGTCCTGTAACTGCAAAACAAGCCCAAATCATCACCCCTCAACCACCGTGCTTGACAGTTGCTGCAAGTTCTTTCCACTGGTGCGCTTTGTATTATGGTCAGACATCTGCACATCTGCACCAAGGGACATTGTTCCTCAACTCCTGTGGTTTGTTCAGCCTTTTTCTAATTGTACTGCCATGAACGTTAATATTTAACATTCTAACTGAGGCCTGTAGAGGTGTAGCTCTTGGGTTTTTTGCAGTTTCACCGAGCATTCTGTGGCTTGGGGTGAATTTGGTAGGATGTCCACGCCTGGGATTGTGGCATTGAATGCTCCAACTTCTGCTTTTGCACAGGCACTCACGCTTGCTTGTTTAGATTTAAGACATGCTTGTAATTCAGTAACTGGATAAACTTGCTCCATCTGCTTATCAACAGAAATGTGTGTGTAATATGTTGAAAAAGCAGGTGTATAATGCAAAGTATTAACACCAGAGCGAGGATTTGGTGTAGAGGGTTGATTTAAAATAAATATGGATCTGACTAAAGAAGAAGAAAACAAAACTAAGAACTTTCAATTTGAAAATGTTGTTTGTGTGTGTTTGTTTGTTTGTTTGTGGGTGTGTGTGTCTGAGAGATTGAGAGAGCGAAAGAGAATGGTGCACTGACAGCAAATAATCCACTTGTTTACCATCGGAGTACATGCCTGTATCAATCACTGAAAAATATTTTTACTTAAACATAAAAATGGAAACTTTCAGATCTGCATCACACAAAAAAGACATTGTCAATCATATATATTTCACTTCTGTAATATTCTGAATATTTATAACTGAGCCATTTGTATATATTAAAGCTATTTCTTATATATTGTAAACTTTGTAATATATTGTGTTATTTAATGTATTTCAGTCTATTGCTGTTATTGTCTTAGAGCCACTGTAACCACATAGTTTCCTTTGTGATTAATAAAGTATTCTGATTATGATTATTTTATATTTACTATTTTTAAACACATGTCTTGATCAGTAGAGTCATTTCATGATATCATTTCCCGGCTATTTTAAATTCAGCTTCTATTATTACACATCTGTGAACTATTTCCAAATTACAGTGTCATAAAAACATGATTCGTTTAGCCGTGTGGGTATAATTAAGACTTTCTTTGGAAGACCAGTAAAATATAGTCAGGTGTTTATCTGTCTGCAGAGAACTCTAATATATTTTAGTTTTTCTCTGCTGCAGTAAGTGACATAATATTTTGTATTATTAATTTTTTGTTGTTGTTGTTGTTGTTGTTGCTCAGTTTTGCTTTAAGGAGTTCTTGGACCTTGTTGAGATTGTATGTGTTTGTTTTCCAGCCTTCGGGTCTTATTTTGCCCAAGTGCGATCTAGCAGGACAAGATGGGATTCATTCTGGCTTCAGTGTCTCCTGATGATTGTCTGCAGAAAGAGGAAACTTCTGCAGACAAGGTCAGGACAGCCTTAAACACTAAGAGCTAAACTGCAAGACAAAAAGTGCCCAGTTTGTGAGGCAGGTCATTAATAAGCTTACTTCCTCTATGAAAAAGAAAGTGCTGAGCCTGTCATGAACTGTGAACAGAAGGGGAAGCAGTGCATTGAGAAAAGGGCTTCCCTCATTTTCCATTAACCCCCCCCCCCCCGCTATAGTTCCTTCAAACAGTGATGTTAAATTTCCCATGTGATTCCCGCAGTTTACTCTCAATCTATTTTAAGTCTGAGTTGAACCTAGTTGTTTGTAATGTTTGTGGTATAAAGCATCCTTTTAGTTTTGTTATTCATTTCCTTTCTATTTTGAAAGAGAAACAGCAAACTGCTTAGCTGAAATCCAGATATGTAGTTTATCGTAAATCAGTCTTCTGAGACAAGTAGGTGTTTTCATAAATTATATTTGAAATGGAATTTGAAAGTAACAGTAATAAAAAAATAATGAAGGAAGGAAAAATGAAATGCACAGAATACACATTTATTGCCAGTGTTCTGGTTTTTTAGTTCTTACCAAAAGTCGAGTCAGTTGAAAATATAAAAACTACATTCAATGATTTCTTTTCACGCAAAACTGAAATGAGAGTAGAAGAGAATTCATTCATCTGGGTTCATATTAAAAAGAAATCTGAAAATCTCAATGCAAATAAAATGAGCTGAAAATCATATAAACAAACATTACGGAGCTTTTAGTGATTACTTGTTAAAAGTAATCACCAAACATACCACTACATCATAAATACTTCAATGCAAGTATGCCAGTATTTTATATGCACTGATTCATATTTTCAAAAGCCTGTTATTGATGCATGTTTCTCACCTGTTTGACAGAGTGCACACGATGTTAGCATGAAAACACACATACACACACAATTTTGATGGCAAGTAGAACAACAGACAGCTGCACACACTGAAACTGTGAAAACAACACGTTTCTGCCCTGACTTTTGCAGTTGATCCAGTATACACACCCCAGGATTTCTATTTAGCTTGGATCACTTGTATAAAGATAAGGGTAAGAGTGTTTTTTTGGTGGTGGTGGTGTGTGTGTGTGTGTGTGTGGGTGTGTGTGTGGGGGGGGGGGGGGGTCAGTCATCACAGTCACACATTTAGTACTTTTTTGTAAAATTGTACATACACCAGGCTGCTTTTTTCCCTCCTTTGTCTGTGTCTCATGTGGAAGTTCAAAGGTTACCATGACTCAAATCTAAAAAAACATGATCTTTTTATTCATTACTGGTCGTACAGAAGCAAGGCCTCATCAGTTGTCCTTTCTCCATGAACGCCATGACTTCAAGTTAAAGAAGCAGGAGTCCTTGTCCCTACAGTCAAATATGGCAGATGAGTGCTTTGACATCAAAAATATTTAAATATCAATTAAAATGCAGCACAGTGCTTAGCACTGTTGCCTCACAGCAGGAAGGTCCTGAGTTCCTTTCCATCGGGGTCTTTCTGTGTGGAGTTTGCATGTTCTCCCCGTGTTTGCGTGGGTTCTCTCCAGGTACTCCGGCTTTCTCCCACAGTCCAAAGACATGCAGTTAGTGGGGATAGGTTAACTGGTAATCCTAAATTTCCCATAGGTGTGAATGTGAGTGCAAATGGTTGTATGTCTCTGTGACAGACTAACAACCTGCCTCTCACCCTAAAACATCTGTCATCTCCAATGACCCTGGAAAGGATAAGTGGAAGAGAATGCACAGATGCAATAATTTACATGTAGCTGTCAAACATATGATGAACATGACATAACAACACAAACTGTAAAATAAATACTATGATGTGGTTTGATGCTTTGTAGCGGATAAATGCAAAAAAGGAACGTGAAACCAGTTCCAAAAAGGACACAGGCCATATATATAAACAGAAAATGCCATTTTACTGGATATAATCTACTGATAAGTTTGATTTCTTAGCCACCTCCAGCTGTCTTTTTACTTCCTTGGCTTGCCAGCCATAAGAGAGAGGATGTGCGCTTAAAGGATTCTAACATTGTCTTAAATGTTAGTCAGCTTTCATTAAGGAATAGAGATTCCCTGGTTCAGTTTCAGTTCCTAACAGACATTGGATGTATAACTAACACATTTCACTTCCAACCCCTCCGTCAATTCACACACAGTCTTAGGCCTACAACCTACAGTCCTACATTCCTCTTTACCACAACATCACTGTAAACAGGGAGCTGTTATGATACTTAGCATAAAGTCATTTTTCATCTATACTTAACTCTGTTTCCCTGACACAGCCTTGATAATCCCCCGTGCATGATTGGTCTTACCCTTTATTTACACATGACACTCTGAAAGGTGCTTTTGAAAGTAGGGGGCCAGCCAGAGACACATTGCATGAAAACATCACAGGACAGCTGCACAATCAAAAACGAAAAGTAAAACTCTTCCACTGGGTGCTGACCAGCAGGGACAAGAACTAATGTATTTGGACAGCTTGAAGTCAGAAGTCCAGGGGGTTATGACCCCGGGTCCTTTTTACGTCAGACTTTTTGTCTCGTGCCAGTTACCAGCCCTATAAAAGCAGCTGTTTGGTTGACCAAGAGCTAGATGTGCTTCTGGTTGGGGTTTTTGGTTGCTGTTGCCATCTCGAACATTAATTTGTGATTCCCTCCAGACCAGAAAAATGTATGCAGCTCTTACGCTATTCTTCTTCATGTGCTTGACCGCCAGCACCCATGCAGATCACCATCAGCCTTGTCGTAAGAGTTTGCAGTTTTACCCTATCCATAAAAATTGAAATTATTTTTCAGGCATCTTTTAGGATTGCTGCATTTTTTTTAGTTACAACACACAAACTCCAGTCTATGTATTGGATCAAATTATATTTAATGTTTGTTAGTATATGAAAGGTCTTAACTATCATACTTTTATCTTTCAGATGCACCCAATATGACAGGATTCATGTCTGTGGTAAGTTTTTAAAAATATATATTATTATTATTTGTCATTCAGATCAACTCCTGATCCTTGCATTACATTTTAAACTCTTTAATTCTCCCTTGTTGTGTCTCGCCGTATGCTTTCGAATGAAACTAGATGTCAATGAAAGGTGAAATGAAAGCATATGGTGCATTCACCTATGATTCAATGGGCAAGAAGCTACGGTTCAGATCAAACGAGAGCAGCGCCACAAACGCTTCACATAGTATGGATCTGCTGATGTTTTTCGAAGAGGTAACTGCTTTAAATCTGTAACGCCGACAAGTAAATACATGACTTGAAGTTGTTTAGCAACTTAACATGCAAGTCTGTCTCTGGCAGGGGACATTCTACGAGATTGAAAGCAAAAACCAGAGCTGTGTGAAAAAAACGCTGCACTGCAGCATGCACCCTCTGGATATTCCCGATGATGCCACGTTTTCCACTAAAGAACACTCTGGGAGTGCAGCCATCGAAGGGGAGGGATTACAGCTAGACGTATGGACAGGATCGATGCCCGACAAGAAAGGTAGGGGGTGACGCGCTATAAACAGAGGAGAGAATTCGAGGGACGCTCCTGTATAACTGTGGTGATATTCACTGTATTTGAATGTTTTCTGTTCTCGTTTTCAGGCCACTATTCCATGTCTGTAACCAAGGGATGTTTGCCTGTGTTCACTTTCTACTTCACTGAGTCCACATCATTCCTTTTCAGGTAAGCTGTGTTGATTTTTTTCAGCTCTTTTTAACATCTGAGCAATATACTACAGGGATGCAAACAACATACAGTGAATGCCCATAAAGTATCTCTGTCACTTTCTTACAGGACCATGGAGATTGAAAACGAGATCAAGGACCCCGATCTCCTTGTGGTGCCTTCCTTTTGTATGGGACAGCCTGTGGAGGACACACCTGAAGGGACAGTAAATGGTTTCCTCAATGAGTTTGTGTAGATGAAGCCTCACCTGCAGAAAATTAAGCCCCTTATGCAAGCATGGCCTGCCAGAACTATAGACTTTTCTCTCCTTTTATGTGAGTTTTTCTTGTGACACTGCACTGCATCACATCTGTTTCCATCACACCCTCAGCACCCGTGGGAAGATATGGCTTTGAACGCGTCATACTGTAAGCATACATGTTGATGTAAAGGGAGAAGAGGTGAAATGGATTTTAGAATTAGTTACAATTACTAACAGTTGGTGGCTTACCAAGTCGGCCTGCTTACAAAAACCTGTAAGATATGATTAATGGAACAATAAAATGTCAAAGCTGTCAAAAATCTCATGTTTTTTCTTGTTGGTCTGAGTTTGTACAAATTTTGCCCTGGAGCAAAAAAACAAAAACCATGTGTCTAAAACAAATGACACCTTTTTAAATATATTAAAATATATTAAATAATATAGGAGATCTCATAGTAAAGACACTGCCAACATTGAGTGAACAATTTAAGAATTGAATGACTACAACAGCAATAATCATTGTTAATCAATAGCCTATATAATTTAATGGGTACCAGTGTGATTAGTGAAAAAACAAACAACACAAAAAACATAATTCTATTAATATGTGTATTGTGGCCCCAAATGAACTCTTTTGATTGTGTTACTGAGGTAAACTGATTAATCATTCTTTGTGTAGTAAGAAAGCAGAAAATTCCCCTAAAGGTACAAAGTAGAAACATATTATTACTTTGTATGTTAGCATAATAAAATAAGCTTAAATGTACAACATTGTACACATCTATTGACTTACTTACTTAGCCTACTTGGATTTTCATTCAGTAGGCCACTAATCTATTTTCTGATAGCTCATTCCGAAAAACTTCAGCAGTGCAGGGAGTGGAAGAAATAGGGCAGCTTTTACCAGCTAAATCCAAACTTTTCCCTTTTACTGATTCCAGTTCAGTCTTAAAGTTCTTACTTGATCAAAGAGCTGAGAGCATTTATCCCAACAACACTGTGCCCGTTAGGATTTGATTAACTATCAATAGTCAATGACCCCTGCCTCATTGGGAAGTTAGACAGCATGCGAGGTACTGTCCTACCTAATGGACAATCTCCGTGACTCAATCGGCGATCACATGAGAGCGGTCCATATGAACCTGCCGCTACGAGGAACCAGGATATGGACCTGCCGCTACGATAGCCCTGACAGGATATGGTCCCTCGTAGCGGCAGTACACAGTGTCGCCGACAGGTGGTGTGTGTGCTGCATGCATAACAACGACAATACACACTGTACCTTGCTATATTAGCCACCAAGAAGCTTCTTAACGTTAGCCAACAAATAAAACTACAATTGTTAAAATTTGGAAAATGACAGCCAGTGCAGGGAACTGACGAAAGCATTCTCTATGAACAGTCCGTACCGCGTGGATTATTTGATTTCAGTCCGTCTTTGAATTAAAACGAGGTAAGTAAAATGGCGGATAGCTAACGTTAACATCAAGGGAGTTTGCCATTGAAGCCGCTTTTCTGGGTTAGCTGTCAAGACACTTGTTAGTGTCACCAATAGTCATACCTATAGAAATACTAGTTCATCAGAATGTGCTATAGTCAAGATAGTTACCAACTGCAGCCTCTGTGTGTTTCCAGTTTGTGTTATATGTGCTAGTGGTCCAGTTAGCCAGCTACAGCTAACGGTAATACTAGCTAAGCTAGTTTCTTATGATGTATCAAAACACTGGCGCGAAGTGTAATCGCAGTTGTGGGAGCCCGGTATTAATTAATTAGAGCGTTGATGTCTGTGGCCAAGATCACATTATCAATAGATTTAGCTCACATTAGCCTGAGAACTGCTTGGCCGTCGTAAAAACGACGGCACGTCAGGAGGAGATGAGAGCCGATAGCAGACTCAGCCTCCCAAACATCTGTGGTTGTTTGTATTTCGGAAGTATACAACTGCGCGTGTCACAACTGCGGTATGATTAAATTGTTTCAAATTACGAGTAACGATGCAGTTTACCGACACGGTGGACAGTAATACAAGCGAAAGACAATTGTGCTCATCAGTAGCTAACGTTTTATTGAGACACTGAAATCCGTACAGTATGCATATCCATTTATGGCGTTCAGAGCCTAGGGACAAGCCCCTAGTCTGCTCAGGAAAAGCCGTGTCATGTTTACTGGGATTTCCACTTACAGTATGTTCTATTGTATAAGAGCGGTCCGCAGTTTCCCCTTTTCTCTGAAAGTATCTGCTGTAAACGTAAAGTTACGCAGAAAGTTGTGAAACAGTCGCGATCACATGCATTTTTTCTTTTTTCTTAAAAAAACGTTCATTAAGTAACACATTCCTAAGTATCTGTTTTAAAGTGTTAGAGCTGGGAGACAAAATCACTTATTTTCAGCTCCGAATAACAGCTGTGTTGGAGATACAAGTGTAGTTTGCAAGTTGTAAAGTGGAGAGTGAAAGTGAGTCTGGGGAAAACACACCCCTTAAGCTTGGAAAGCTTTTTTTTGAGAATGGCCACTAACAAGATGTATTACTTAACTTTGCCAGTGTATTATCTTCAGTTAATTAATTAATGTGATATACATGTTTTTATGCCCCCCCCCCCCCCCCCCCCTCAATTATCCAAGGAGAGGTCACAAGTCATGACATCTTAGAATCTGGACCCAGCAAATTTGGAGCATTTTGAACCAGTAGTGCAGTCAAACAAGCATTTCCTCTTGCATTTCTCAGTCTATAAGCCTGTTGTAGAGCACTTAAAAACACAGATGTCATTAAAAATAGTTCCATGTGTCCCAGTAGACTGCAACAGTGCGACACAGTCAGTGTGCGCACTACTGGGGTCTCAGTCATCTGAAATATTTTCTTAGCAGCTACCATGCAGCAACCAGAATCCAGCCCCTAGTTGTCAAAAAGATTAATCTGCAATTTCATGTATTACTTAATAGTTTGCTGTAGTACTGTCAAGTGATCCACAACAAATAGACTTTTTTTGCTAAGCCTAACAGCCCTTGATAGTGGTAATAAACATGGCAAGTGCAGAGGTTTGGTATTGCTGATGTGCTTATGTGGAGCCTGGATGGGTGGATTTCTTATTTTGATGTCAATGTGTAATTTTTATCTTGCTGCTTCAGCTGGATAAATCACATTAATTGGTCTTACAACTGGCATCAAAACATATTATTGTTGTCTAAATGTCAATGGACTAATTAGCTAGATAGATCTAGCTGACTCGCGAACGAACATGGTGCATCCCAGGTTGAGATAAGTGGCTCTGTTACACGCTCTCTGCTTTCCCCATTGCATAGCTAACATTATTACTATGTCTGTCAGCAGGTTTGGCTCACATTTTAACATACTGTAGCCGCGTTCCATTGCCGATATCTTGTGTTTGCGTTTACAACCTGCATACCATGCATTAACACGCATTTATGCAGATAAGTTATCTGGATACAGATAATCAGATTTAAATAGGTTATTAAAGCTTTGTGTGCCCTGACAGTGACACAACCACGCTCTCGTCATGCCCTTCAATATTAGTTTCGACAAAAAGTGTGAATCAGTTGGTACTACTATGATTACAATGATTAATCTTACCACGAAATGTGGGAAGAGTTTCATCTCAGCCACAACTATGTGCAGTATGACTAAACTAATAGCAAACAAAATGTACTTTTCATGAGCACGTTAAAAAATAACTGTAGGCTAGAAGGAATTGTGTGTTGAAGACTTCTTTGACTTTGGGCTCACATGAAATGGTTAAGAAGACTATTAGTATGACCCATATATGAGCAATGTAAATGGAGTTCATTAAGTCCAATCAAGGTGTATTTATCAAACAACATTTGTAAGGATAAAATTTTGAGGGTTTAAAATAACAACTATTTTTTTTTTGCTTTTGTTTATTAAGTTTACCAATTACAATAAAGGTTAGAATAATGTTGAATTCTTCATAATAATTTTCTAACAGATAAATATTGGCCACAGGGATATGTGAATGTTGTCTTATTTGTTGATAGGATGTAAGTTGAAAAGTCACATATTTTGGTGAATCCTTGACGGAACTGCACAGTAACAGTAAAACCTCAAAACACAGAGGAGGGAACATCATGGTTTGTGGCTGGTTTTCTACTTTAGACCAGTGATAATGAAATCGAATCAAGAACTTCTCTTGAATGCTTGGCAAGTTGTTCACGACCTTAAATCATTATAAAAATGGTTATACATTTTTTGTCTTGGCCAAAGTCTTACTCTTACCCAGTTAAGATGATGCATGAGTGAAAAAGGTCCCGGTCCTGTAAAGCAGCAGTCCCCAACCCCCGTGTTTGGTACCGGGCCTCGAGAGTTGAAAATTTGTGTGAAAATTTTTTTTTTTGGGTACTGGTTTTATTTTGTTGTATTTATCCAGGACACCTTAAAGGCCGGTCCGTGAAAATATTGTCGGGCATAAAGCAGTCCGTGGCGCAAAAAAGGTCGGGGACCGCTGCTGTAAAGTATCTCTGAAACATTGCTGAAGTCTCTAAACCAGAAACATCTGATGGAGTTTATAGCTGATAAAGGCAGTTCTACAGGTCACTCAAATCAGTGCTTGTTTTGTGAATGGCTATACAGAGTTAAATAACAACATGTAAAGTCCAACTGTAACTTAGAAAAAACATTTATAAGTAATCTATGCAGAAGGAAATCCCGGCCTTTTCAAAGGATTTATTAACATTTTCTTGAAACAGCAGGGGTTTACATAAGATTATTTTGACTGTCCGGGGTTTTTTTTTTTGCTTCATTCATTTCATTTTTTAATAATTATGTTCTTTTTCTTATTCATGTGCTATTATAAAGGTATATCCTTGCTCAGCACCCAGAGCAGTAAGAGCACCTACTCCAGCAGATCCAGAAAATGTTAAAGAAATGATAGCAGCGCAGGACTTGCACACTGAGTTTCAGTTTCCTCAGTAAGTAGAACAACATGGAAGTGTTACTGTAAGGTTTTTATGTCCTTCAATGTTTATTTTGTATGTATGCACTGATGATATTTGAGATCGTTTTTGCTATGCTTGTGTTACTTTTTGCAGTTGTATTAAATACTAATAATAATTACTAATAAATCCATGTGTTATGCACAGAGAGGCAGAATCTCAGTTGTCTTCAGATACTGACCTTGAGGATCCCGATGGCAAAAATGCGAAGACAGGAAAGGGCGTGGTATGTTTTCCTGACTTTCTTATCTTGGGCACTGTGCTGAGAAGCACTTTTAACATTGTCTGTTATCTGGCTTCACTTACTCCGACATCAGCGATCAGGCAAAGCAGTCACGTGAAAGTGGTTAGAAATTCAAAAGTGTTAGTCAACCCAGGGTTATAATCAGTCTATCTAAGAGCACCTCCACATGAATGGGATGACTGTAGCGCATGAACGATCACAGATATTGAGAAGTCTGCTGACAACAGAGCGGCTGCTGTTAGAAAGGAAAATAAAACTATAATAACAGGAAACTGTTAAGTGGTTACACACCTAATACAGACTTAAAGTAACACAGTTATTGCGCAGAAACGTGTTGTGTGAGTGCATGTGAGAGGAAAAGTGCTGTAAGGCTGGAAAATACCTACAGTATAAATAAAGTTTAGCCAATTTGAAGCAAGAAAGGGAAAATTGGCAAAAATGCAGACTGTGTAAGTAAACAGTTAGTCAGACAGATTATAGCCATTGTTGTTATTATTATTAATGTTTTGATAATGATAATGCAAATAATAAATTTTTATTTAATTTGATTAAATTTGTAGTTGTTTTATTTTTGCAATTACATAACAATTATATTATAATTGTAATTTTATTGTATAATATTAACTACTAATTGTAATTAGTAATAAATAAACTATCTAATTAAGTTATAAGGGTTTTTTTTTTGGGGGTTTTTTCAGATAATTGATTGGTTATTGGATTGTGATTTTGTACCTGTTGATTTCTCATTTCAAACACCATTAGTTACTATGTACTCCAGTAGGAAGTGAACCACCTTCTTAAAAGCCAGAGTGAAACCTGGAAAAGCCCAAATCCTGCCTTGTAGTACAGGCCTCGGTTTATGTGCAGTCATGGTCACACGCAGGCTTGCAGTATGTCCAGCATACACTGAGTAGAAATCAGTAAAACATCCTCACTGGTTTCCCGCTATCACAATGCTAATACATAGTCAAAAAAGTTTATATCATGCAGCAGCTACGTTTGATAAGAAAATAAGTCTGTTTCATCTCTGCATCAAATGTCTGTAATGTGATTTAGTTCCGTTTTTCTAATGCACAGTAACCAGATAAGCTATTGAGTATAGAGGCACACTGATGCAGTGTATGATAACAGAAGAACATCTTTCTCCTCATTAGGCAGCCAAGAAAGGGAAGAAGGCGCTTGGAGACAAGGCCAAAGGTGGTGGAGCTGGGAGGGTCACTGGTCCCGGCTGGGTGAATGGCCACCATCAGGAGAATGGAATGGAGAACATGACCTTGTTTGAGGTGGTTAAAATGGGGAAGAGCGCCACACAGGTGGGTGCACGGATTCTAATTTTCAATCAGTAACAATATGTAGCCTGGTTTAGTGTCTGTGGTTCTCATTTTTTGAATACTTAATCCATAAAGCTTGATTTATATTACTGTATTAAACCTTTGCTATAGCTGCTGTATTTCTGAGGGTGGGCATTTCAAGCTTACAACACACTCTATGCAGTGAACTTCATTTCTGTTTATTTTTTAAAGGAGTGCCACACAAGACTTATTGACAGCTTTTCTTTTTCTTTACATCTGACCTGATTTCCTTGAACCTTATGCATTGCGGTTAGAAGCAGGTTCTGTTTCTGTTTTTGTTCAGTAGTGGCTGCTAAAAAAACTAGGTGTATTACTGCTGCCTCCTGGTGGTAATACTGGACAAACAGGTTTTTTTTTGTTTTTTTTTTAAATTAAAAGATAACCTAATGACTACTCGAATAGTCAAAAATATTACCCACGCCTGTTGTGCATCGATACATTAACTACACATGGCAGCAACTCAATTCACCGAAAGGCAGCATATTGATTAGCACAAAGATAATACCATTAAACAAAATGTAATAGACTGTAGCTTGATGTTAATGCAATAGCTAGTATTCTTTCAACATAGACATTAGCGTAGCTCTGATAATCTGTTTTATCATCATCATCATTTATTTATTTATATAGCACTTTAAAAACACACCTGGTAGACCAAAGTGCTGTACAATACTAATATGCACATAGTAATAAAAGCAGACATAGCAATAAAGTTAAAAAACAATAAAAAAATAAATAAATAAAATAAAATAAAATATGGCTCAGTCATTTCAGGACTCTGCTCTGCTCTGCGTTTTACTAAACGTAACAGTTGTTCAAAATGTAATAGGCCCAAGTCAAACATGATCAGCTCAGTTTCACTCGTAAAGTCAGACCGATGCAGGCTCCTCAGCGTACAAGTGCAAACGGCAATGACAGCCACCATGGCATAAGCTCCTCTTAGTTATGGCTGGATCAGGTGACCCTGAATTCTCCCTTAGTTACTTTGCGTCTAAGCTGCTAGGGGCTTCCCATGATGCAGTATTAAGTGTTTCTTCTTTACTCCCCCTCCCCTTTTTTTTTTTCACACTTCCTGTGTGGTTATATACCCACCCTCCCCCCTTAACCATTAGTTATTCATCTTTGGCCATGTTCAACAGTGTGTCTTTGTCCTGTCCCCTCACCCCCGACCTTCCACTTGAGGTTTCTTTCTGTTAATAGGGAGTTTTTCCTTCCCACTGTCACCACATGTTTGCTCATATGGGGTCTTTTGATTGTTGGGGTTTTCTCTGTATTAGCATGTTGTTGTTTTTTTACTTTACAATATAAACCGCCTTGACGTGCTTGTGGTGATTTGACATTATATAAATAAAACTGAATTGAATTGCGGGGATTCAGCACAACTATAAATCAAGCTTAATGGATTAAGAGGAGTCAACAAAGCATGCTCTCTAAGGAATGTTTTCAAAGTTATATTTTAGTTAGAAGTGTAAATAATTATGTGATAATTTTGTGAGTGTGCTTCCCTTTCCAGTCTGTGGTTGATGACTGGATTGAGGCATACAAACATGACAGGGACACCACTCTTTTGGACTTAATCAACTTCTTCATTCAGTGCTCTGGCTGTAAAGGTAGTTTTCCTACTTGTATTGTCTAAATGTGCAGCATGTTGGGTGCCTGAAAGCCCATTCACACGCTCAATTTTGCTGTATTAGGTGCTGTGAGTGGAGAGATGTTCAGACATATGCAGAACTCGGAAATCATCCGGAAAATGACAGAGGAGTTTGATGAGGTGATGTAGGCTGTGTTTCAATACAACGTATTTTAAAGAACCACACCAGCATGGGAGATGTTTTTAATCTGGCCTGAAACAAATGTAATACTTGGGACCCCAATCTGATTATCTCTGTGCTGTACAGGACAGCGGCGACTATCCATTAACCCTCTCAGGACCACAGTGGAAGAAATTCAGGATAAACTTCTGCGACTTCATTGCGGTTCTGGTGCGACAGTGTCAGTACAGCATCATTTATGACGAGTATATGATGGACACAATCATCTCGCTACTCACCGGCCTGTCTGACTCACAGGTCAGGGCCTTTAGACACACAAGCACACTAGCAGGTCAGTTTTATTGTGGATTTTGTCTCCATCCTGCACGCCCATGCTGCTGTTATCTGACAGCAGTTGTTCCTACACGTATGTGTTTTAAACATTGTTGTCTCTGCCAGCCATGAAGTTGATGACAGCCTTGGTGAACGTGGCTCTGAACCTAAGCATCAATATGGACAACACACAGAGACAGTATGAGGCAGAAAGGAACAAGGTCATTGCTAAGAGGGCCAATGATAGGTTGGAGCTACTGTTACAGAAGCGCAAAGAGGTAAGAAGAAAGATAAGTTGTCAAGCATTCAACCCAGCGTTGATGTTGGAGTGTAATACAGCAACACGTCAGTGGGTGTGAGCGTTGTTTAACTCTGTCATTTAAATTTTTCACTCTATATATAAATTGACTGGGGGGGGGGGCATGCTGCTGATTGTATTTGCCCCTTCACGTGCAGGTATGCCATACAGGTGTAGCCTTTTCTGCCTTTGTGTCTCTGGAGAATAGACTCAGTCACTACTGATTTATTTAAAGCCCCATCCCTAACCAGCTATAACCTAAAATTATGACTTTGTTTACCATTCCGTGGCCTTGTAATTCACTCTGTTTATTTTAGCTCATTATTTTATTGATATTTTTAGCGCAGCCACAGAAACATACTTCTCTCTTTCCAACAGCTGCTTCAGGGTCTTAATGCAGGCAGACTAACATTGCCTCTTGAAGGCCGAATCCCTGTGACTGCCGCTTTCCCTTCAATGCATGTCGTATTAGTCATGGTTAATTTAGAAAGACATCATGTTCAATCACGGTTTCCTTTTCTCTCACAGTTTGTCAGTGCTGTAATGACACGTCATTGGCCATTGGATTAAAACAGTGTGTTTTTTCACCAACACTTTTCGTTGCCTCTCCGCATCAGTTCAGATGACATCTGGAAATTCTACAGTTAGAAAAAGTTGGGGGCTTTTTAGACTTGTGATTGCATGGGCTGTTATTAAATTCAGAGGAGGGTGGCTGCGCTTAATGGCAACTTACAAAGTGTCAGTTATGACGTTATATGAATCTGATGACACGTCTCCTGGTGAATCGTTTAAAATGAGTGATTTTTACCATTACACATTTTATGATTAGTTACAAAAGACTGTTGAATCTCACTTTGAGATCTTGTGAATGTCTTACAGAAGCGGTATGAAAGATTTAGTGTAAAACTGAACTATTACTGCATAAGGCCACTGATCCAAATCTGAAATGATAAGACTGTATCATTTCAGATGATAAGACAATAAGCACATTGAACAGGACTGGTTCTTTTTATTTTGAGTTCATTCTACATAAACTGTCCTTTCTAGTTCACAAAATGCATATAAATCCAGTATTTCTGGTTTACCTTTAACAATGGTAACAAATAGTGGATGAAATCTGTAAAAAATCCAAGCATAGAACAATACCAACCGTGATCTTGGACTTTCAGGGAGTTTTTGTTCAATTAATTTCAAAAACCTTCTGTTTATCTTTTAGCTTCAAGAAAATCAAGATGAAATTGAAAACATGATGAATGCAATCTTCAAGGGAGTGTTTGTTCACAGATATCGGTAAGTAAATCCTTAAGCGATAAGGAATTCCCCCAGATTATTATGGTAAATGGCAACCAGACTGTGTGCTGAATGTAAGATTTCATCACGGGCTTCTTATCACTTTTGAGTTTGTACAACAAGAAGCAGACAGAACAGAGTTCATTTAGAGTGTTTTGGCACCCTCTAGTGCAAAATCAATGTTAATACAAGCATGAGTTCATTATTCACAATGAACCTTCTTCAGTGCTGTTTACAGCTGCCAGGTCTGTTAAAGGCCCGTTTACTAAATTTAGTGAATTCTCTTTGTTTTTGCCAGCGATGCCATTGCTGAAATCAGAGCCATTTGTATTGAGGAAATAGGAGTGTGGATGAAGCTGTACAGTGACGCCTTCCTTAATGACAGCTACCTAAAGTATGTTGGCTGGACAATGCATGACAAGGTGAGTTTATGGAAAAAACTTGTGTTATGGAAGAAGATATTAAAGCCCACATCTTAAATCTTAGATTTCTGAGAGTCAGCGTATGTAGTAGTACCAGAGGTGACACAGTCAGTATAATTGAGATAAGCATCAATATAATTAATAACAACTTTTTAAAAAATGTACTCGGCAAGTAGGTTATTCCAGCCTATGTATGAAACTGGCTTCAAACCATATTATTCTCCCTGCTCCTTCTCATGAGAATTTGATGAACTCAGAATCTTCTTTTTCTAGTTTAGGAATATTAGTACCAGCTTATCGTCACTTCATGTCAACAGTCAGTTTTTTGAGGACCACTTTTCTGAAAAAACGCAACGCATTCGTTCTGTACATAGGTTACCTGTCATGTTTGTACACAACACGTTCAGTTTGTAGCACCCTCTATCCAGAAAATCTCCCATTTGTTAAAGCCTATTACCGTAATTCCCGGACTATAGAGCACACCTGATTAAAAGCCACATGCTCTAATTTTAGAAAGAAAATCAATTATGTGCTTGTACAGGCTGCACCGGATTTTAAGCCGTATGCGTTTTACTTGTAATATGAGATATTTACACAGAAATATTACACGTGACGATTTTTAACGTTTAATTTAATCCGTAAGATAACATAAACAAACAACATTACAACGTCTCTTAACAACTGGTAAAAATATATACCGTATATATACTACTTATCAGTTTTATTGGTCTGCTGTTACCAGGCAAAATGTTTTTGGCCGCATGAAAAAAAAAATGCATTAGCCGCATGTCAGTATAAGCCGCAGTGTTCACAGTGTGGGGAAAAAGATGCGGCTTATGATCCGAAAACTACGGTAGTTAAAATTTGAAGTCCAGAGCTCCTGCTACCATTTTCTTTCAGCTAGAGGGCTTTTATTCCAAACACCTCCAATCACTAGACTTATCCAGAGTTTAGATGGGTGCTCCAGTCTTGAGCTTATGCCTTCACTTGGCTCACATTGAAAGCAGGTGGATATTTTATGAGGTGTACTTGCTTTTCTTGTTCAGCCACTTGTGCTGGGTGAGAAAGATGCCTGGTACAGACTTCCTGTTTGGTGGAAATCGTCTGCCTGTGAGAATCCTATTTGATGCTGAAAGACACCCTCATGTCTTGCTGCTATGTCCCATGTTTGTTTTATTATTGCTGGTCCTCACGCATTTTTATTACCTCTACATAGACTTTTCATGTAACTGCATTTCAAAATGTTTGGATTGCAAACAGCTGTCTAAGAGAAATGAATCTAAAACCTGCTTATAACTTCACTTAACTTGCCTCTAGGGGTGCATTATAAGCAATTTTAACTGGAATAGTGGCAGAGTAACACAGGCATTCAGATTTCACGAGTATTTAATGCATTTCTGCTACGACTGCAGCAAGGTGAAGTGCGTCTGAAGTGCCTGACTGCCCTGCAAGGCCTGTTCTACAACAGAGAACTCAGCACTCGGCTGGAACTCTTCACAAGCCGCTTCAAGGTAAGTAAGCATTACTAGAAATGTAGATGCCTCTTGGATATCATTGCATAGATGTAAATGTTTGATAAAGATAAAATAGTACCATTTGGCCATCATCATACCCGCAACTAATATTATGGAGATCTGACATTTTCTCTCACTGACAGGATCGCATTGTTTCTATGACTCTGGATAAGGAGTATGATGTTGCAGTGCAAGCTATTAAACTTCTGACACTTGTCCTACAGTGAGTAATCTCGCCTCCTCAAATTTCCATTTAATTTTGTGCCACAGCATGTGATTATTAGGACATGTTTTAATTCAACACGACAGCAGATGTCAACATTTTCTTCAGACAAGCGTGTTATTTTTCTTAGTGTGCATTTATGTTTTCTTCCTAATTCTGAAAGCTATTGTGATTAAAATTTTTACAAATCATGTAAATAACAATGATAATTCTCAGTGTTTGTTTTTCTTAATCAAAAATCCAATAATCACAAAGAGTTATTTTTGCTTTTCATGTAACAGGAGTAGTGATGAGGTTCTGACAGCAGAGGACTGTGAGAGTGTTTATCATCTGGTTTACTCTGCACATCGACCCATCGCCATCGCAGCGGGGGAGTTCCTGTTCAAAAAGTATGTGTTTTTCTGCAGATTTGAAAGAGATGTAATTGAATCACCAGCTTGAATGAATGTTATCTATTCAAAATATTTTAGTGCCAGTAATAAAACTGACGGAAACATTCCAGGGATTGGCTTATTGTGTAAACAGGCTCTTTGATTCAGCCTGAGTCTGGTTGGCACTGCATAGCGAGCAACATTCATGGGAAGCACACTAAGCTCCAAGAAAGGAGGGAGAGGAGGAAGGGCTTAAAGGAATATTCCACCCTGCTCTCGGCTCGGAAGGTGGCTCTGAATTTTTTTTTGCTGGCTCCTTGTTATTACAAAAGCAAAATAATGCTTGCGTGAAGGCCAGCTTAAGTGTAAACTCAATTAGATTCCATAAAGGAGACACAGGAAATATGCATGAGATATTTGTCCCACCTCCTTTCCTAAAGAGGCTGAAAACGTTCATTTAGCCTGTTTTTCATACGTGTATTAAACTGCTTTTTCTTTGGTTGATTGAAGGTTGTTTAGCCATCGAGGTCCTGAGGAGGAGGGATTACCCAGGAGGGGCAGGCAGAGCCTCAACGGCAGCCTGATCAAGACTACTGTGTTCTTCTTCTTGGAGAGTGAGGTGACCAGGCTTTTATGTCAGCCCTGTGCCCCTGCTTTGCAGAAATGGCAGTTTCAACTGAAACGTGTCAATCATTAATTATTCTTAAGATTGGATTAAATAATTAAATACGAATCAGAACTGTGCATACATCTATTGCAAGGCACTGGAGATTTCTGTTTTTTGGCTCAAAGAGAATAAAAAAATAACAGAAATGTATTATCTGTGTTTAAATAGATTATTTCATTTCATTACAATTCACATTCCATTTTTTACAGCTCCATGAACATGGGGCCTACTTAGTGGATAGCCTGTGGGAGTGTGCGTCAGAGCTGCTAAAGGACTGGGAGACTATGATCAGCTTGTTGCTGGATGAGCCAATGCCAGGAGAGGAAGGTAAGGAAGCGCTGTCTCAGAACGAGGTTTTTAGTGAGGAAAATGAATCTTTTTGCCACTCTATTACTTATTTGTTGTACTTTTACTCTAATTTGTGCTTCTCTTAGAAGGCAAGTCTTTTCATTAGATACTTGGTAACATTCTTTATGGGGTTTTTTTGGGTGGTTTTTTTTTTTTTTTTAGCTCTAAACGATCGTCAGGAGACAGCCCTGGTTGAAATCATGCTCTGTGCCATTCGGCAGGCTTGCGAATGTCATCCTCCTGTAGGCAGAGGCACGGGGAAGAGGGTGAGTGTCAAGCCGTCATGCTTGAGATAGAAAGGATTAACTTAGCTCCTTGAATGATTTCGTGTTGACTGTGCTGTCGGGGTTTTGTGCATGGAAAAGGTCCTGACTGCAAAAGAAAAGAAAACACAGCTGGATGATCGGACACGAGTCACAGAGATGTTTGCAGTTGCTTTGCCTCTGTTATTGGCAAAGGTGAGTGATTCAGAGTTCTCAGAGTTCATTATTTCATCAGGTTCAATATTCATGAAATAAGCCTGACTGCGTTCCCTTTTGTTTTTGTAGTACTGCGTTGATATTGATAAGGTGACCAATTTGCTACAGATACCAAAGTTCTTTGATCTTGACATCTACACAACTGGGCGTTTAGAAAAGGTTTGCGAGTTGTTTGTTTTAAAGCTTGTTTTACAGCTGAAGTGCATTGTATGTGCTGCTGGTGAAACAATGTTATGTTCTTTCAATTAGCATTTAGACGCACTGTTGCGACAAATCTGGGAAGTTGTGGATAAGCACACAGACACTGAGGTCCTGGAGGCCTGCTCTACCACCTACCACTATCTCTGCAACGAGGAGTTCACCATCTTCAACCGTGTGGACATCGCCCGCTCCCAGCTTCTTGACGAGCTTGTAGACAAGTTTAATAGACTCCTGGAGGACTTCCTGCAAGAGGTAGGTGCTGTAAGGCGTTTATCTGTGTGGATTATTTTAAAGGATGCTCGCAGGAGTAGAGGCAAATATCTGAGATTTCAGCATATGATCTCTTGTTTGTCAGGGTGAAGAACCTGATGAGGATGATGCTTACCAGGTTCTATCCACACTTAAGAAGATCACCACTTTCCACAAGTAAAAGCAGTTCATGGAAACTGTTTCAGTTTTTGATTTGAACACATTACTTGTTAAAAATCTTACGTTTCTGTTTTCTCATATTGGGTTAAGATGTCAGTGACAGCATGCATGCATATTAAATGTTATAGATTTAATGTACATTTCTGCTTTCAGTGCACACGACCTCACTAAGTGGGATCTCTTCACCAGCAACTACAGGCTACTCAACACAGGTCTACAGAATGGCGATATGCCTGAACAGGTATTACAGTGTCATCCCCAAAATCCTACAAATGGAGTTAATCAGGGTGTTTACATTCCCATATGTTACTTGAGTTACAGGTGATGTGAGGGATAATTTGGAAAGAATCATTGATCATATATACTCACCAGCCACTTTGTTAAATATATCTTGCTAGTACCCAGTTGGACCCCTTTTGTGCTTTCAATTTGTGTCATAGATTGAACAAACATACCTCGGAGATTTTGGTCAATATTGCCATGATAGCATCACAGAGATGCTGCACATCTATGATGTGGCTCTCCCCTCCTACCACATTCCAAAGTTGCTCTGTTGGTTTCAGATATGGTGACTGGAGGTCATTTGAGTACAGTGAACTCATTGTCATGTTCAAGAACCCAGTTTGAGGTGGTTTGAGATTTGTGATGTGGTGCTTCAACATGTCATCAGAAGATTGTACACTGTGGTCATCAAGGGATGGACATAGGGTGCAACAATGCTCATGCAGGCTTTAGTGTTTAAATTATGCTCAGTTAATAATAAGGGTCCCAAACTGTGCCCAGAAAGTGTCCCCCACACTTTTATATCACTGCCACCATTATGAACAGTTGATACAAGGCAGAATGGATCCATGATTGCATTTTGTTGACATCAAATTCTGACCCTACCTTCCCAGTGATGTAGCAGAATCGGACAGCCAGCATTTTTCCACTCTTCTATTGTCTAGTCTTGGTCAGCCTCTGTGAACCGTAGCCCCAATTTCCTGCTTGCAACTTAAAGGGGTGTTGTGGTCTTCTGCTTGCTGTAGTCCATCTACTTCAAGGCTCGATATGTGGTTGAGTTACTGTTGCTTTCTTCTTTCGGCTCCAAACACTCTGGCCATCCTGACCTGGCATCAACAAAGCATTTTGTTGCCCAGAGAACTGCTGTTCAGTGGACATTTACTCTCTCTTTCAAACAATTTTCTATAAACCCAGAGTCTGAGTCTAGCACTAATGACCGTGCCACATTCAAAGTCACTTAAATTGCCTCTGTTCCTCATTCTTATGCTCCTTTTGAACTTCACCTGGTTGTCATGACCATGTCTACATGCCAAAATATAACGAGTTGATGCTATGTGACTGGCTGATTAGATATTTGTATTAAGGAGCAGTCGAACAAGTGTACCTAACAAAGTGGTGAATGCGTGACAGAAAATAAAAACAGAAAAAATAGATGATTATATGAATAATTCTTTTGTGTATTTAAAAAGAAATAGCAAGCACAAATGAACCTTGACATGTCTTAATAATTACTGAACATCGAACTCTTTTAAAATTTAGAGTCAAGCTTTCAAAATAAAGTTACGATTAACCAAGTTAGTACAGTTCAAGTAAACTAGAATTACCCTCTGAGTGACCTGTTAAGTTCATGTTAAAATACTGAATGTGCAGTTTATCTATTCTGCTTGATTTTTGTTCCTCTCAGATTGTGGTTCATGCAATGCAGTGCACACATTACATCATCCTGTGGCATCTAGCGAAGGTTTCAGATGGCACTTCAGTAAAGGTACTGTTCACATTTTGGGGATATTTGGCAAAATACATGTAATAACATTTCTGTGCCTACATTTCCCAAATAAATATGATTGGCAGTGTATCACAGTTTGAAAGTATCCTTCCGCCTGTGTCACAGTAAATTCTCTCTGTAGTTACATTTGGACACCATGTATATGCAGATCTAAAGTAGGAGTTACATGTTTTTACTTTGTTTTGCTTACAACACTTCCCAGTCTGATTGCAGTTTTCTGTCAAGCTTTATAAATAGAGTTATACATTTCTTAATGCCTGGGTAATACAGGTACAATGTTACTTTGAAAGGGTTTTACTAACTGAACCTTTACTCCTCTCAGGGTGACATGGTGACCTTGAGAAAGCAAATGCGAGCTTTCTGTTTAATGTGTCAGCGCTACATAAACACCATCAACAACGCAGTCAAAGAGCAGGTGAGGATTTTGATGAGTCAGATAATTTTTATTTATTTATTTTTATTTCCTTTTTCGTTTTTTCAGCGCAACTGAAAATTTCTGTGGTCAGCATTTCCATATATGCTCAAGTGTTGTGTTTATTCCAGGCCTTCACTATACTGTGTGATCTGCTACTGATCTTCAGTCACCAAATTATGTCTTCAGGCCGGGAACAGTTGGAGTCTCTGGTCTATTCGCCAGACTCTTCTTTGCAGGCAGAGCTGCTCAACTTCATCCTGGATCATGTTTTCATTGATCAGGATGATGACAACAGCACAGGTCAGAAAACACTACCCTGTTTTATATGAACCTACCACACTCTGTTTAAAGAAGGAACATGACTTTTTATAAATTTTTCATTTTTTTAGATGGACAACAAGATGATGAAGCCAGTAAAATTGAAGCTCTACATAAGAGGAGAAACCTTCTTGCTGCCTATTGCAAATTAATCATTTACAATGTTGTGGAAATAAACACCGGAGCAGATATATTTAAACAGTACATGAGGGTAGGTCTAAATCCTGTAGAGATCATAACGAAATCATCCAGCCCTGTTGTTTTAGTTAACAGTATTTCTCCTGTTTCTCCTCAGTATTACAACGATTATGGAGATATTATCAAGGAAACAATGAGTAAGACGAGACAAATCGACAAAATCCAGTGTGCAAAGACGCTCATATTGAGCCTGCAAAAGGTATGACATGTGAAACAGATGGATGGTCACTAATGTGTAAAACATACTTGTTGCTGATATTATGATGAGACCAGGTTTGCCGCTGTTCAGGAGACACAGATGAATTGTCTTAACACATAGATAAGGAAGCGCCTTTTGTCTCTGTACTGTCAGTAAGCAGCCAGGCTGTCCTTGAGATCCAGCATCATCATCACTTAGATCATCATACTGCTGGAAGCCCGATAAAGTCTTTTCGGGCCTCCTCAAATAGCGATACCTCACCAAATAGAAGAGATAAAAGAGTCAGTCCCAAAATCCTTTATTTGCATTTTAGTCTGGAAAAAATCTTCTCAGGGTCTTCAGAGGCTTTTAATTACTAAAATCAGACAAACAGTATTTGAAACCTCTTTTGCAGTTGTTCAATGACATGTTGTCTGAACTCGGCTTCAATTTCGACCGCTCATCATCAGCCTTCTGCGGCATAAAAGAGCTCGCCCGACGCTTCTCATTGACGTTTGGTTTGGATCAGCTGAAGACCAGAGAGGCTATTGCCATGTTACATAAGTAAGTCATTTCCCTAACCCAAACATCATTTGCTCTAATGAACAGGAACTTTCATATGTCATGTCTTGTTTGTTTATTTTAGAGACGGGATTGAGTTTGCCTTTAAAGAGCCAAGTCCCCAAGGAGAAGGAAGTCCACCGCTTAATTTAGCATTTTTGGATATCCTGAGTGAGTTCTCTAGCAAACTAATTCGACAGGACAAGAGGACAGTGTAAGTTTGCGGCACGATGAGTAATGTGAGCATGAAAATGATGAGAACCTCTAAAAAGACTAATGTTTACTGTCATTTCGCTTTTTGCAGTCACATGTACTTGGAGCGATTCATGACATTTCAGATGGCCCTGCAGAGAGAAGACTGCTGGCTGCCTCTCATCTCATACAGAAATTCTCTGCAGGCTGGAGCAGATGACGACACTATGTCTGTAATTAGTGGGATCAGCAGTCGAGGCTCCACTGTCAGGAGTAAGAAATCCAAGCCAGCCACTGCCAGCAAAAGAAAATTGCCTGAAGGTGAGCATTGCTGGTGTACTTTGGTGGACCATTTATTTTATCTACCACAGCAACCGATCTGCAGCATCAGGGGTCGGCAACCTTTCTGATTATGAGTGCCATCTAAAATTTCCTCAGAAGTCAATGTACCATATGACTGCATTAGCAATAAATTTAATAATGCTCTATAGTAACAGTTACACACTATATAGAACCACTTTATAGAATTATATTTGTTCGCAGATGTTGGCAGCTATCAGCGAATAGTCATCAGCTATTTTGAAACAAAAAAGACACTTTTTATCCATAACAGCAAATGAAGTGCACAACAGAAAATGCAAATGCTATTTATGGTTTCCTCACAACAATGATAAGAAAAATAAACTGGGTCAGTATGGTATGTTTGTTAATACAGAGATACACATGTTAATCTGATCTCTGGTCTCCCACTCAGAGACACAGGTCTCCGAGTGTCCAGCATTCAGACGGCTACCTGAGGACACGCTTCATGTGAGAGAAAATCTGCTATTTGTACAGCCAAATACTGTCAGTAAGGCCTCTGCAATGTTCTGAAGACAGTTAAACTTGTCAGGTAGTGATGTCCAGCAGGTGAAAATGCAAACTCCATTAACGCGCACAGCTATGGATACCAGCTGCGTTCGTAGTTCTGCAAACTTTGACCCCACAGAGTCGAGGTTTTCAGTTCAATCAGCTGCATTTCGATGTTGCATTAACTGGCATTAACTCAGCCAGTTAATCTGAGACAAATCCAGCTGCTCATTAAAGCTTTCTGGTTTGATCAGAAAAGAAAACATTGGTCCATACACCTGAAAGTCCCGAAAATACATTGTGAATTCTGTCTCAGTCTTCGGATGTATACAAGCATTTCCGTGGTGCTGATGCTGCGCTGAGCGGAGAGCTCCTGAGGTATTTGAAGTGTTGGAATGTGAAAATTTCAACATCGCTTGACAAAACTGCCAGCTAGCAACGTCCCTCTCACCAGTAGGCTAAGTAATTTTTAGCCAATTACAAGTTGAATCTGGTACTTGGGGTTGTTAGCTAAGATACTGTCATTAAGAAGCGGCACAACTAACGTTGCACAACCTTCTCAAATTAATTCACTGCATGTCGTGCCCAGGGCTGGACTGGGACAAAAAAATCGGCCCAGGCATTTTGAGTAGAGACCGGCCCACCAGGTATTATAGGAAAAGCCATAAAAACTTTGAATGAAAACAGACGCTGTTGTGACAGTGATGTACAGTCTTATTGGTATATGTATGATTTCTATACATTTTACATCAGATAAAAACTTTGATTGTAGGATTCAGATAATTATTTATTAAAAGCTAGACATTTTAAATGAGAATAAGAAAGAAAGGTATTTCTTTGTGTCCCCCTTTCCCTGTTAATGCCCTACCTGGCCCCCCTGGCAAAACTTTGCTAGACCCGCCCCTGCACAGTTACCAGCTGTCAGCTATGTAAAAAAAAAAAAAAAAGGATCCTGGTGTTATTTGTCTCTCAGAAACAGTTCATAACTTCCCTTCAACTCATTCATGTCACCTAAAAGGTAAACCTGTTTCTCCATCACCTGTTCAGCTCTGATGATTCAGTAAGGACATCTCCTGGTTTCATCTTCATGTTTCCCTCTCACCACATATCCAAACCGACATCCTGACCAGCAGGTTTACAGCTGTGGCTCCAGCAAACATCAGCTGATACTAGAAATTAATAATAAATAAAATCTAACAACAGCTGATCAAGCTTAAACGTGCTGCTGTTGTTTGGCGCAACATCCACTGGTTTCCTGTTTCTGGCGCAAAGTGGGCGATAAACAAACAAGAGAGAAAAGCCGATCAGCTGATCATTGATCAGTTTCATGATTGAAGTAGCAACAGGAGAGGGAGGGGGAGAGGATGAGAAGAAGAGGCAGCTGTGCAGCGCAAACACAGAATAATGAGGTTACTAACCTTATGAATAAAATAAAGTTCACTATTAGTACCATCAAAGCACCCACCCAGCTGTATAGAAACTCCGTCATGCTAGCTAGAACGCAGTACGAGTTATTGTAACTGACTGTAAAAAGTCAGCACAACGAAAATAAACTCCACCTAAACTTGGTTTATATCTGACCCAGATAGACTGCAGGTCATAACTTCTTACCTGAAGTTCAGTTCACCTGACACTCGGACCGGCGGCCGCCTTCGGTCTCTCCTCCTCCTGCCTCCACTGTGGAAGCTCCGCCATAGCCACCACCAAACAACTGAGTTATTTTTACACATCGGCCAGCATCTGGCCAATTCACCACCTTTCATTGTTTATACTGTTACTGGACAAATGCCCGGTATGCCCAATGGCCAGTCCAGCTATGGTTGTGCCATCAGTTTACCCTGGCACGCGTGCCCAGGATTGCCGACCCCTGATCTACATCAAAACAGCTGCTGGTTAGTAGAGTTGTATTTAAGGTGACAACATTTTCTTTGTATTCCATGACTGTCACAGCAGTTTGTTTGCTGTATTTCTTAAAGTCTGCCTGAGATTGAAATAAGGTCTTTCTGTGAGCGAATACGCCGTCATGAATTTGAATACGGTGCAGTATTCACCTTCAAACGTCACACATAAACATAAAAATGCATCTCTCTCTTAGGCACATGTATTTCTCCTAGGATCCTCTTGCAAAATGTTTCATGTTAATTCTCATCACAGCCTGCCACTTTAATAATAAATCAAACAGCTCACTCATTGTTATGGTCACTGCGTGTGTTCAGTAAAATTCAAGGAGTGTAACAAATGATTTTCTCTGGCAGAAGAGAACAGCAGTAGCAGCAGCGATGCGGTTTGGATGAACCGTGAGCAGAATGTGCAAACGCCAGTGATGATGCATTCACCCCATCTAACTTCCACTGTACTGAGGGATCCAAAGAAAATGAGGCCAGAGGATAGCTTCACAGCCACGTTCACCATGCCAGCAGAGCAGCATCCCCATCAACCTGTGCCTCCTCAGCAGCAGCAGCCACACCCTCAACACCAGACTACCATTGATTACAAGTAAAAAATATGTGTATTACATTATTGCATACATGTCTGCAGAGGTCTTAGTTGCAGTACAGTATGTAAAGCCACTTTTTTAAAACTGTGGGAATTATGAAGTAATGAACCCTGTTCCACAGTACCCAGGTTACTTGGATGCTGACACAAAGGCAACAAGCTGAAGCCCGTCAGCAGCAAGAGCGGGTTAGCATGCACTACGCCAAGATGAGGAACCACATGCAGCAAGCAATGTAAGAAGTTCAGCACTTAACTGTTTTTGGCCGAACTTTGAGCCAATAAAGAGTCTGACAAAAAGCATTTTTCTGACGTGTTATTTTTTTGTTATGCGTCACAGTCGTCGAGGCTCTGGGCTCATGGAGGATGATGAGGAGCCAATAGTGGAGGATGTGATGATGTCATCTGAAGACCGCTTGGAAGATATCAATGAGGGCATGGATTTTGACACAATGGACATCGATTTGGTAATTAAAAAAACTAACAAACAATAGTCTACATTTGTCTAGATGCATGTTTAATAATTCCAGTAAGGAAATCCTAGGAAGTTGATTCTGCTGATTTGGACGTGGCATTTTCAGCGGGAGATGAGTAATGAAACGTTTCTCCCACTGAAAATGTAGCATCCAGATGAACTGAACCAAATTAGAGATAATCTGAATCCTGCATTTCTAGCAGAGTAAGCTGGTCATGCCAGTCCTTCCAATAAATAAATAATAAAAGCAAATGTTGATGTTAAAATTAATAATTTTTTTGACTGTATATATTTTTTTCATCTTGTGGAGTATTCTTCTAACTGAGTTGTTATCTTTCAGCCGGCATCAAAGAATCGCAGAGAAAGAACCGAACTGAAGCCAGATTACTTTGATCCATCTTCCATCATGGATGATTCGGTAGGAGTATTCCACTTCTTATAATAACTGATTGATTGATTGATCATACTTTATTCATCCCGAGGGAAATGGGTTAAGGCTGCCAGCCGTGCCAGCGCCGTCTTACCCTTCCGACCATACGTACATTACACAAACATCACATGGGGAAGACAGGTCAGAGAGGTATAACATGGAAAAAGCACAACATGAGGAAAGATGAGGAGAAAAAAATAACTCCCCCCAGACTGAGCTCCAACAGGGAGATCAGTTTGAGAACAGAAAAAAAAACACCTCTGCACATAGCACATGAAAAAACTCTTAATACACCAAAGAAACACATGACAAGCAACAGGGATGGGTAAAAGGTGAGAGACAGCCAGTGTAGACAGTGCATCCGGGCCAGCAGCATAAGCGCTGGTCTCCTTGATCCACCGTCAGCATCGGAGGGGAATAAGCGTAGAAGACGTTTGGAGGGGGAGTGGGGATGAGTGTACATCTGCCTGTGTATATATGTCTGTGTGCATGTGTGTGTATGTGTCCAGAGTTCAGCTGAGACAGTGTCCTTCGCCCTGCCAGGCTAAGTAAACAGTCTTCCAGCCAACCCAGGTGGCCTTGCATAGAATGGGAAGAACAGTCTAAACACAGTCCGTATCAAGGTGTTGTTGTTCCGCTCCAGCCTTGAGACCGCAGCTGGCGCCGAAGGGGTATCCGCATGAAGTCAGAGGTGTGGACTCGAGTCACATGACTTGGACTCGAGTCAGACTCGAGTCATTAATTTTATGACTTTAGACTTGACTTGAAAAAATGTTCTAAGACTTGTGACTTGACTTGGACTTTTACACCAATGACTTGGGACTTGAATTGGACTTGAACCGGTTTACTTGAAAAGACTTGATATTTTACCCCAAATATAAAATTTAACATGCATATTATATAGAGATTGAAAATGTGACGTCATTCACGGGTAGAACCGCAAAGGATTCTGGGAACTCGTGGCAAGCGGTACTAGCGCACGCAGGCTTTCAATTAAAATCAGTTATACAGCGATAAAAAGAAACACAAAAATGTCAAGAAGCCGTTGTATTATTAACTGCAATAGCCGGTCGCATGACAGCCACGGGAAGCCGACGGGTAAAGAGATCGGTTGTTATCGGATTACGTCGTTGAAGAGAAATTGTTCGAGCCATGTTTCCGAAGTAACAAAGACGCGACGGATAGCCTGGATTGCAGCCATTCAAAGATCAAATATAAGGTCCCAGAACACTCCAGCTCACAGGTTAGTCTGCTCCAAGCATTTCCACAAAGGTCAGTCTGCTGTTGTAGTTAACACGTCATTTTCATAACATAATTGGTGATATAGGTTACAAGCAAGTCTGGCGCTGAACAGAAATGGTCGCGCTATGCTCCTTTGTTTATTGTGCATAAATAGTGAATTGTCCTGACACAATATTGCGTTTCGCTTCTGTTATTATGGTACATTGACAAAAACACATACTTTTATTCACAGGATAAAACAGGTTTTTTGTATCACTAATTGCCCAGTATGATTACAGCATACAGTGTTATTGTCACTGCTACATTTCTGTGATGGGTACCAGAAATTATTTCCACTACTAATTAATTACCGTTGAGCTCAAAGGTCCTATTAATAAACGGTTAACGAATGTGTATTTATGACGACAATTTGTGAGACTGGTAAACTTATGATACGTACGATGGTCTTTCGTTCTACACGGTGCATTTCAAGGTCCTGTACCCATCCGTCGGTAAACTGTACCTGGGCTTGTTGCAGTGACCTGAAGTTACTAAACTTCATGAGTGTATGCACTCACTCCAAGAACCGTATGCTTATAAATATGCATATAAATATGCTACAATGAGATAGCTGACTTCATCTAACTAGCAAATGTTGTCCAGGCTACGTTGGTGATACAGTTTTTTTTAATGTGTATGATATTTTTGTCATGCGATTTTAAAGCTGGTCCTACAAGCGCATCCAAGAATAACATGCAGCTTATCTCAGAACTGTCGGTGAAAATTATTCTTGGAGCTAGGTTTAATTGAGCTGCATTTTAAAGAGGTGCAATTTCACAATTTGTGTATATTTTCTAAGTTCACTATTTTGTCATGTGTTGAGAAAAACACAGATTTTAAAATTACATGGTCTAATATTTACATTTAGCATAACTGCAACATTAGTTTTTCGTTGTTTTTTTTAAAGACTCGAAAGGACTTGAAATTCAAAATTTCAGACTTGTGACTTGACTCGGACTTTTACACCAGTGACTTGAGACTCAACTCTGACTTGCCTGACATTACTTGAGACTTGACTTGAGACTTGAGGATAAAGACTTGAGACTTACTTGAGACTTGCAAAACAATGACTTGGTCCCACCTCTGCATGAAGTGATGGTGGTTTTTACTTTAGTGCGAACAACTCATATGAATTTCAAAGCTGTTCTAACAGTCCGACACTGGTTTCTCAATCTCCCGTTGGAGAGTCGTGAGCTTCTCCATGATGTTATTAAACTTGCGCTCCGTGATGTTGTCATTCTTGTGCTCAAAGAGCCGATTCTGAGAACTCATGAACGCAGTGCGCTTCTCCAAGATGTGATCCAATTTGCGCTCAGAGGTGTTGTTCCGAGCGAGCCCCTCCAAGATGTAATCCAGTCTTATTCTGAGTATTCACGGCAGCCGTAAGCCTCTCCAAGATCTTATCCGTGCTGCACTCAATGAGCCCATTTTGAGAAACTCACGCCTCGTCCCATCATTTCAATCCCAGCGGGCAGCCTTGTGGGGGTTTGAACAGCCAGTTCCACTTTGTTAATTCTTCGATAAGCCAGGGCCAAGCCAGCTCCGATCAGCAAGAAACCTGTTATCACGGTTCCGAATAGGTAGATATCTTCAGCACTCAGGCTCACCCGAGCCCAGACTTCTCGTTGAGAAAAAGGGTGTCAATTGTATTCAGGGACCAGTTGATCAAATCAAATCCATAATTCCTCTTTTAGGTTTTAGAGAACAGACTGTGAGAGAGTGTTCCAGGGAAAAGTAATACAAAAAACACGAGACTAGACAAGGACACAAGAGGCTAAGCAGGGAAGCTAAGGGGGAGGAGGAGGAGAGGAGAAAAGTGCGACCGCCTTCGTCAAGAGCAAGAGAGCAAAAAAACCCCAAAAAAAACCTGTTTGAGTGAATGGCCAAGTAAGCATGATAGATCAACGTACAGTTCACGCATGCCTAGCCTTATTTGGTAGAAGTCCATTTTCTTGTTATTTATGACAGTTTGATTAAAGAACCCCAAAGGAGGAACAACTTTAGGTGTAAAAACAACCACATATTTCTCATCTGTTCATACTGTACACTCGATATCTGTTTGTTTTTATTTGGTTTTGAATTTCTAACACTGCTTTTTTTCTTTCGCCTTTAGGTTCTCAATGTTTCAATGTTTTAATATGAAAAGGACAGCATGTCATCGAACTCCTGGGACGGTGAAATGACTCTTTATAAATGAGAGTGGACTGGACTAGTAGGCTTGTGAGACACCAATGTTTGCCTCTTTAACACTTTGTTAAAACTTAGAAGGAGTGCTTGAGCTTGGATTTGAATTTTATTCTGCTATTTTCACACACCGGATTTTGGTCACACTGCGGCAGAGATGTTTCGGTTTTTGTTCAGTCGCCCTAAAAAAACTTGATGCCAGCTATCACTTGGCTACACTTGTTATAATGTGTGAAGCGGTACAGGTACGGATATTGTGTAGCAGTTTGCATGGTGATGGGACAATAACAGGTCAAAATTCAAGTGAATGATGTATACCTTTAAACTCTTTAAGTAGACGAAAAATGTCTGTAAATACATAGCGGCCAATATACAGGGAGGGTGAACACAATTTCATGAACACCAGAAAATATAATAGGCTTGCAGAATAACACTACTGTTTTGATGCTTGTAGTGTTCAGTTATTGTTGAACACTATAATAACCCTGCACTTGGTCACAGAGGTGGTAATTGTGCTGGATGGTCATTTTTAAGCTTTACATCGAGAAACTATCTTAGGTTTAAACGAACCCCCTCTCTGATGCAATCCGGACATACGCTGAACATATAATGTTTCATAATGGCAGCAGTTATTAAATGGCTACTGCGTTATATTGGAAGGGTGTCAGTGGTATTGTTGTTCACCTTCTGAACTTTTAAACTGTAGATTCTGGCATGGCATGTAGCCATATATCAAAACATGTACACAGTAAGTATAATGTGAACTGGCGTGTCATACTGTTTAAAGGCCTTGCCACAAGTTATATATATACAGCATTCTCAGATTTCTTTGTGATGGTATTTTTTAGAGACATGTGTTCTGCTTTTATACCTTCTAGATAACTTTGATTTATAGATATTTTGTAATGACAATCAAATGTAAATTAATGGTTTCTATTAATCATGTTATTTCACATAGAGATTGAAATGATCCTTTTTAAAGGAAATGATTATGTTACTATAGATGTGGCCAGCTGTATTTTCTTTTCGTCTCTCTGTAGCGAACGGGTACAAACGTACCTCATTGCTCAGATGTAGTAATTTGACAAATTGAGGCTGCATCTAAAATTATTTTTTAATGTTGGAAGAAATCACAATGTTGTAAAACTTTGACTCAACCTCAAATATGTAATCTCTCCTATATATTAACTATTTTTTTCCACTGTATAGTATCTAGTAATATCTAATATTAGAGACATGCCATGATTGCAATCTTTAAAAGAAAGGATTTTTAAAATGGTTGAGAACGATGTGTGTTTGTTTGGTTTTGTTTTGTTTTTTGTATTTGCAGGTGTTCAGAAATAGTTTTTCAAACTGCCAGTTTGGTTGGTTTGCGACTGCTGCGTATTTAAGAGTTATAGAAATATTCTAAATTACAAAGCTTCTAAATTCTTTAGCCAACAATCATAGTATCAGAATTGTATATTATACAGTTACAAATGTGTAATATATTGTGAATCGGTGCTCATTTTATATTTACTGTTTCTTTTTGTGTGAAATTTTGGGGAATTGTCAAAGGAAAAGAATGTAAGTCTTTGACATTAATCTACTAATTTGTAAGTGCACACACAGTGCATTGTTTTTTTTTTCTTTGTTTTACCGTGGATTGTTCCGGTATTTCTTCTGTGTATTGGCCTGGCTGGCAGAATCAGACTTTATGAAAGAAGGTGTAATCATATTGTAGCTGAAAATGAACCTTATTTCCTCAGTGTCACTATAATCTGGAGAATCAAATCATCAGGTCTTAACCCTCCTGTTATGTTGACCCAGAACAGAAGAGATGTCATCTGCATCACTACAGAAAACCAGAAAATCAAAATTATACAAGAAAATTGTAAAATAATCAATGCCAGTGTTTCTGACACTTTTTGGATGAGTACACATGCCCTGGGTCAAATTGACCCAGGAACATAATTGGTGTTCCTGGAAACCAACATAACAAGAGGGTTAAACATTACCACATACATAATAACTTTTCATGTTAGGCAAATGAGAAAAACACATCTTAGACTTGTCTGTAAATTTACATGACTCATGTCATTTTGGAGCTTTTCTGTTTTGCATCAAACTGCTGAAAATGTGCAAACATCTGTACGTTTATACATATTTAAATATTTGCGTATATTAAATTTGTGTTTATATTCTATTTACAAAGTGCCCATTGCATCCTTTACGGTTTGTATTTATGTATGGAGATGTAACATGAACAGAATAAACCCTCTACAACTGTGTGACGACTTAATAACACAGCAATAAATATGATTTGATATGGTATTAGAACACCTGTACTGTAACTATAACTGGCTTTTACTGATGAAACATGAGTGCACCGGAGGATTATGGAAATCGCAGCTGTCCTGCAATTTGTTGTTTAGGTAGTTCTTAGAGAAAATGTTACTGGTAGATTTAAATTGGGTTGTTCAAGTGTCACGGGATTTTATTTAACTAAACAAGTTAAATAGTACAACGTGGAGAATCAAACTTATTCCAAGACTACACGACCATCACCACCACTCCGTGCGAAAACCTCGGACGCACAGCTGTCGATGTCCCACAATGCACCAGTGATCTAGCAGCGGCGGCTAACCACCACATTTGACCCTGTGTGTGCCATGATGATAAACTAGACATCCGGGCTGTGTGCATGGAAGATGGCGACACTTACCCTTCCTAGTGAATGGATCAAAAACTGGGAAAAAACAGGAAAACATGAGTTGTGAGTGCATCTGAATTTCAAGGCAGTGTTGAATTTTGCATCTTTTTACCCGTTGTTTACGAATAAAAACTATCGAGAATGACGTAGCTAGCATTCAAATATAAGGCCGGTCTTTAGGTGTGTTAGCTTGAGCCAAGCAGCTAAAATTTAAAGTGGCTTACAAGTGTCACTTACTTAAAAAAAAAAAATACATGTAATTTAGTTCCTGAGTACTGAATACAGTTAATTTGTTAGACTTGTGAAAAGAAGACGTCAATGGCTTTGAACGTCACCGTGGAAGCTAATGCTGTCTGCTAGCAGTAAGGCTAGCTTTACGCTCCCATTTGATTCGCCGTCAATGTGTAAACACTATGGCTGTTAACGCTAAGCGAGCTAGCATACACTTCTGTTGCTTCGATATCGCACTATCTAGTAAAGTGGAATAAATGTACTTCCAAAGTTCAAGGAATTAGCAGTTATCAACTTCGAGCAGACAACCGAGTATTAGCTGGCGAGAAAACCCCTTGGGCAGCCTGTTATAAACCTTAACACTAAATAATCGTGTGGAGGGAAAACAACGGACATTGACAAAACGCTTTAGCAGATTAGCCGTAACGTTAGCTACAGTAATTGTTTTGTTGAATTCCTTTTCGTATGCTTTAATGTTTAGTTGGGTAAGCCTGGAAGAATAAAGATGACGCTTTTTGATTCAGTTTAACAAAACGTATCATTTGACGATATATATTTTAGGAGATGAATATTTTAATCATAATGTTAACCTAGCTACAGCTAACGTCATACTTTTCTTAGCTGGCGTTAATTTCACCTAGATATTGGTGTAGGATAGTCGCTGTAAGGTTTGCATAGAGACTGTGGACATAGCCAAGGTTATTCATCGATGCACATCTGTGCGCTTGGTACTGTATAAAGACATCTCGATTATCAGAGTAAACTTTATCACTAACATTACATGTTAAACTTAATAATTTAAGCAGTACTGTAAAAGCCTCTCCCAACACCTTGATGTACGGCGACTGTTATCTTAAAATTAGTTTCTTCAGAACAAAAAATACAAGAAAAACGTTGCGTGAATAATAATTTCACGCATTAATGTTGAGTACTGCCATCGCCTGTGAGCTGAGACACAATAGGCTCATCCACAGTACTAGCTACGATTATGTGCTGTAGGCCTTGCATATTTAAGAAAGGCCTGCAGTGGGATGCACCAACTCAAACTCTCGTTCCACTATCTTGTGTCAATAACTGATAGTACTTTAACTGGAAATTGTGCCAAACAGTTGCAACTACGGGGTAACTATTAAAGTATTTCCATCAAGGCAAATTACCCGTTATAGCAAAGCTGAGTACATTGCAGTGAAAGTGTGATTTGGCAGCACAGTGAGATGCCATCCTCTGTAATGACAGGCAGCAAATGAAAATGTGGTTTTCATGTTGATAAGTATCACATTGTTATTACGTAACCAATATTTTTAAGCCATATAATTCATTGATATAAAACATTGTGGACATCTGGATCTACTTTTTTTTAAAAAAAATATTATTTAGTTATGCCAGGTGAGTTGCAATTAACCAGTCCCAGAGACCAGGGTTTAGCTTAAAGTGGTGAAAATGTTGTGTCAGCCTCATTATACAAATAGCAGCTTTGCACATTTGACCTTACAGGCTCTGGCAATCCAAGGTGTCCGTTTGCTGTAACTCTGACTTTTTGTAGCATTTGCATTTCTTGTTCACAGTGTGTTTAGCACCTGACAAGCTGTTATCACTAACAGTTAAGCTGATGGACTGTGCTGCGTTTCTTACAGAGGAAAGGAGCTAGTGTGCTCCAGTGTGTGTAATTGTACCTTTTAATAAATGGGATGTGCCTGGCAGAACGTGCTCTATTAGTCTGCCTTTGTCATCACTACTTCTGATATTTTAAGACCAGTCAAGCTGTCAACTGGGTGAACCGTTAAGTCTTTCAATCCACCAGCTAAGTTATCACAGTCAATTTAAGAGGGAGAAACATGGCACTCAGTAAATACTAACTATAAATCTGTGCGAGCGTTTGGCAACAGAGAAGGTAAGGGTTGTCCCGCCCAAAGATTCAGTCAGTAATCAATCCAGCAAACATAAGAGCCAGTGCTATTGTTATATACAAACACAGCAGTTTCAGCATAAATACTCGTGTAGTGACAATGTAGGTAATATAATATTTCTTGAGCTACTACATTGATAATTAGGATAAACCTAAAGCTTTTTGTGGTGTAATGTTAAGACTGGATTAAGGTGTAAATAAAGGTGTAGTGTTATGTGGTTTAGAAATATAACTTGGAGGAAGTGAACGGGATATTACAAGAATAATGTTATGTAGAAATTGTTGGCACTGAACAAACGGATTTAAATAAGTTTTCATGCATCCTGGTTCGTTCATTGAGCTTTATAAGGGTTTTCATCATCATGTTTATGTATCCTAGTTTAATCTAAAAAAGAATTCTCTCATTACTTCATAGTGTACAACTCTGCAAAGACCTTACAGAGAAAGCAGATCATGGAAGTGAAATTAAAGGTGAGTTGAGTGTGACCCTCGTTCCTTTAATACTCTTCTTGTATGCATCTGTCACTGTATTTTAGCTTGCTCCTCATGTACACACGTCCACCTTGGGAATTCTCATAGTTTCCAAAATGAATGCAAAAGGTTTAAAATTATTTAAATTTAAATAATAAGTAGATTTAAAAAAAATTAAATCAATGAAACACGGTACTATCCACGTGTAACAATGGCTGGAAGGTAGAAGGGAACTAAGCAGCCCATGTGGAGATTTCTGTTTGGTGTGTGTGCTGACACGTGTCACAAAATTTCAGATAACACTGTAATCAAGTGATTTTATGTCCAAAAGGACAAATTTTACTATCACGTTGTGACAGTAAAGGAAATACTTTCCTTGTTTATTCAACTGCATTGAATCACTTACACTAATCTTTGATGTTTTAGTTTATGTTATGAATTATTTCTCAGTTACTTTTTTTATTTTAGTATTACGTAAAACTTGGCTTGTGCTTTTATCTGTTACCCCTACAGACATACAGACTGCCTTATATGAGCTCTGCTGGCAAGTTGTACAGGGGAACCTCAAGTTGGATCTTGTCACCAGCGTCCTTGGGGACATGATGGTACATGTGTTTTTAGCTTGTTGTTTTTACCTCAAGGTTGTTGTTGTTGGGCTTTTTTTTGTTTTGTGTGTTTTTCTTTTTTTTTGGGGGGGGGGGGGGGTTCTTATTACCACCTCATGGTTTAACATTATTAGCCCAATAGCAATACATCTCAAATTTTGTTTTTATGTATAAAGTTCTGTATGTCAGGTGTATAAACACTATCGTTTTATTTTGGCACATAATGTGTTCAGTATTTCTGTGTAATTATACGTCTGTTTAAAGATATGATGGTAAATTACAGATACTAAAGAAACAAAATCTACCCACTCACAGGAGTTGTGTTGTTAGAGCTTCTTTGTACCTCGTAACAATAGATTTTGCCAAGCCTTAAACATTTTTACTTATCTTTTGTTTTGGTTTGTTTTCAGGAACTCCGAGAAGACATGCCATCAGTTTTAGCAGATGTGTTCAGTATACTAGGTAACTTTTCTGGTTTTGAGTTTGTTTATTTGTTTGATTGTTTGTTTTAGTACTATGACGACATTATCTGATTTGATATGTTTTTATTGTTTGTTTTTAATGTTTGTTTACTTTCACAGATTTAGAGACTAGTGCACTGGAAGAAAAAAACAAACGTGACCATTACACACAGCTGGTCGGCGCATGTTTGGTAAGTATTACTTTCTTATCAGCTGATAGAACAAATTGTATGCCACTTTCTATTTAAATTTATAGAGGCCTTACTGACTGTCGTGTCTCTAATAGCGTACGAAAATGAACTAATTACTTGCCTCTTTTTTAAAAATTTGTTTCCCCCCCCAGTTTTGTGTCCCTGAAGCCATTCTGAAAGAGAGGCTGGATCCAGAAACTCTCGAGTCCCTTGGACTTATAAAACAAGCCCATCAGTTCAATCAGAAAATTGTTAAAATCAAGACTAAACTATTGTAAGTATAGAAATGTGATAAAGATGTAGGCATAGATAAGGTGCTTCATAAGTCCTTTCAAGATTTGTGTAACATTTCTTTTTTTTCTTTTCAGTTACAAACAGCAAAAGTTTAACCTGCTAAGAGAGGAGAACGAGGGCTACGCCAAACTAATCACTGAGCTAGGCCAAGACCTGTCGGGGAATATTACCAGCCATATTGTTCTGGAGAGCATCAAATCCCTCATAGGTAACAAACTGCTTTTTCATTGTCACTGCTTCACACATGGTGCTTCTGTTATCGTTTACACACTTCTTAAGGGTGTTTTTATCTCTCTCTCTGTCACTGATAGCCATGGCTGGAGAGATTATGTTTTCCTGTTGTCTAATAGGATTAAATGATAAAGTAATTACATTTTAAATCCAAATGATCTAAGGTCTGCTTCACTGTAAAATGCTTTGAAAAATCACA